TGCTGCTGCTGCGGCTGCTGCTGCGGCGCACGCGGGCCAGTGTGAAGAGTGTAGAGACCCGAGCCCGGCTCAGCAGTAAAGGTAGCAAGAGGCTGGTAAGAGTCTCCGTCAACACACACCGCAGTCTCTCCAGAAGGCTCAAACCACACACCCACGTGCTGGCTCACGAGGGGTCGCACGCCCACCAAGTTCCGGGAGAACGAGGGGACGTGAAACCCAGTGAGAGACCCGGAGGGAGCAGCAGGACACGGTAAAGTGGTAGTGTGACGTGCAGTGACTGGTCCCGTAGTGGGATCAGCCAACGCTACAGAAACAGGCGCAGGAAGTGGTGTAAGTGTCGTGCTGTCCCGAAAGAAGCAGTGGGAGGCTCCAGAGTCCAGTGTGAACGACAGCGAAGCGTCCTCTGAGGTAGTCGCTGGTCTAGAGTCTACACAAGTACCTACACTAGCAACAGGCAACTCAGCAAGACTAGCACCTAAGCTAACAACACCAGAGTAAACAGAGTCAGAAACACTAGAGTCAACAACAGCATACATAGCATGAGGAGCACTAATCAGATCAACTAACTGCTCAGCAGACATGCCCCACAGAGCGGAGCCGTAGCGCTGAACCAGAGGAAGCCAGTCAGGAGCAGGACCGCCAACCCCGTAGGTCAACCGGACCGTGTCAGTGAGCTGAGCAAAGCACTGACCAGGGGGGTGAAAGCGGCCACAAGGGTGGCCCCGACGAGGACCTGTCTGAACCTGGTAGGGGCAGGGAGGGTAAGCAGCACCGCGCTGGGGCTGACGCAGCCCCGACCCCGGAGCCAGCTGCTGACGCTGCTGCTGCTGAGGCTGCTGGGAGGAAAGGGGCTGCTGCTGCTGCTGAAGGTGCTGCTGACGCTGAGCCTGGTACCACGCCGCTGCTCCACCTAGCGGGGCCGACAGTAGAGGAGGCGACTGACGAGCTCGAGGGTCGCTGCCACCAGCAGGTGCAGTGGAGTCACCGGCCGCTGCACGAGGGGTCTCTCCAGACGCTGCACTCCCACCACCGCCAGTCGCAACAGCACCCCCACTACCTCCGCTACCTCCGCCTCCACCTCCACCGGAACCACCTTTCTTGCCCCCCCTGCCGCGGGACCGCGACGCAGTCGTAACAGCAGCCGCAGTCGCGTCAGTAGCGGCAGTGGCAAGAGAGGCAGTGAAGGTGGGTAACTGCGGGACTGTGCACCCGTGGAAGAGTGGGGGGGATACAGTACCAGAGGCGGCAGCTACCGAACGAAGGTTGCTCTCGACATCCTTGAGTGCAGACTCAAGGACCTCGATAGTCAGCTCACTAGGGTGCTTCAGCAGAAGCGCGTCACGAACGGAGGCAAGGCGGTCAGGGAGGCTAGTGGCGATGAAATAGACAGTAATCGCCATAGGGGGAGGAAGCAGTGCAAGCTGTGCCTCAGTGCAAGCAGCGCGGTAACTAGCGTCAAGCGAGCGGAGGTGAGCGATCAAGTCAGCAGAGCGCTCAAACGAGGCAAGATCAGGAAACAGGAACGGGAGGAAAAGACGGCCGAGAGAGACAGTAGCGGGAGTAGAGTAGCGGGCCTTAATCGCAGTGAGGTACGCAGCAGCGGTGCGAACCTGAGTAAAGTGGACCTCCTCGGACTCAGGGAGGAGGCTGCTGAGTGCGATGCAGGCCGCAGCGTCACGCGACGTCCAAGCCGTCCGGTCAGCGCGCTGACGGGCAAAGCGAGCCGTAGCAGCATCGTCAGGAGCAGGGCCTAAAGCTGTAGGCTCGGGGGGCTCGGGGAGGTCACCAGTAGCGTGTGACCAGAGGGTCTCGCCCCCCTGGACCTGACTCTCTAACAGACGACGAGCGCGAAGAAGCCAGACGGAAAAGTCAAGGGGTCTACCGTCGGCGTCGAAACGAAGAACTCGCGGAGTCGCCATAGTGAGAACGAACAGGCGAGTAACAAGCGGGGGGGGAAGAGGACTCAGTCGCAGCGGAAGAGTGGGCTAGGACGACGGGCCAAGACGTAGGGTAGGGCAACGGGCCAGGGCCTAGGGTAGGGCGACGGGCCAGGGCCTAGGAAGGGCGACAGGCCAGGGCCTAGGGAGGGCGACGCGACGGGGGAGTGGAGGTGCCATAGTACCGTAAGCCCCCGGATAGAAGCGCAGGCCTAGGATAAGCGCCGGCGCTTATAAAAGGATGAGGGCGCTTATATCCGGTCCTCGATTATAAGTGCACCCCCTAGAAAAAGATGATATATTATAAGTGCATGTTTGTTTTTTATTTGAAAACCTTTCAAATATCAGAAACGAATTTCACATAATCAGGGAAATTAACTACAATTTCGATTTCCCACACTCTGAACTCACTTTTTGCGCGTCTAGTCAGCATGTGCTGTAATTCTGTCAGGGTGAGTTGGCAGGGAATCACTCCCTGCCAAGCTGCGCGAGAATCAGATTAGCGACCCTATATGTTTTCGACTCGATTACAATCGGCAGAACGAGATATACAGTTTGGTGTAAAACAAATATATATATTCTTTTTGCCATTTTATAAGCGCCGGCGCTTATAAAATTCCTCAATTATAAGCGCACCCCCTAAAAAACAGTGTTTTTTTATAACCCCAGGGGCGCTTCTATCCGGGGGCTGACGGTACCTCGATGTTACTTAGCGCTGGATCGCGGTAGTGTTCGAAAGTTGACCCCGATGGGCCAGCCCCAATTCCCCTGGGGCATTCTCCAAGGACGTCGGAAAAGCGTTCCAGAGTGGTTGAGAATTGCGTGGGTGTGGTGTAGGAATGCACCCACTCGGGCAGGTCATTTTGAGGTTGGGGGTGTTTCGATTCCAGCTGTTGTAGTGTCGCAATTGTCGCAGGTGCTGAAGGCGAGGGTTGTAGGGCTGCTAACACCTTTCGCATGTTACCCCGTTTCACCAACCCCTCCGCACGTGAACAGATTCCCAGTGGGTCACGTTGGTGCTGAGGTGGTTCGGCCAGGTGCATTGACCCCAAGTAGTCAGTGTACAGCTGGGTCCAGTGGCCACATCGAAATAGATGCATCTGTTCCCGCCGCAGTTTCCATCTAGAGCTGGATCTCTGGCTAAGTCTTAGCGTGAGACGTGGTAGGAACATGAGGACCCGCCATGCTCCCGCGCAGTTAGGCAGCTTGGAGATCCGAAGTAGGGCAGCCAACATACAGGTGGAGTAGTCGCTAAGGATCTGCGGTGGACGATTGGTAGGTGGGTGGTGGAGGTTAGGAGTGTAAGGTCCCAAGTCATCGCGATCTGGAAAAGATCCTCCCGCGAGGCCAGCTGGGACGCCGATAGCAGGGCTCTCGTTATCAGGGTAAAATACCCCTTTTGCACTGACTGGCGGCCCCTTTTTTTCAGTTACCCTTTCACAGGGTAATGGATTTTTTAGTTATCAGGGTAATGGATTTTTTCAGTTATCAGGGTAATGGATTTTTTACCCTAGGCCAGAAAGTGTAAGTTTTTTTTTACCCTTTAAAAAACAGCGTAAGTAATTCATTTCTCTGACTGTACACGATACGATCTCAGTCATACTGTTGCAAATGCTCTGAAGCGAGACGAAACACTATCTTGCCCTTGCAAAATGCTCCTAACATCAAGACTCGAACCTGCGACTTTTCGAATCTTATCCGTAATAAAACAAACTGAGCCACTAAGTGCTGATGTCTACGCACTTAGCGTTCTATTTATAAATTTTGAAACAAAAATACCTTGGCCAAACAGACTAATTTTGTTTTTACCCTTGCTTTTGTCAAGGAAACCAATTTTGTACCCTACACATCAAGGTTGACTATACCTAGAACCCTGATTACTAAGGGTGGCCCAAAACGAATCTGAAGCCCTGGCCGATAGTGCCTGGTCCGGGGGAAGCTGAGCCCTGCGATGCTGTTTGCGGCCGGGTCCTCTCTCATGTTGCTGCGCTTGCCCCTCTCCTTGTTCCGCATGAGGTGAGGCGGGATCGTCTGGTTGTCTCAGATCTGACGGTATATAATCGTCTCCACTCCCCTCTGTGTTGATATCCCTGTTTCTCCCTGCTTGCGCTGGTGTTCCTCCCCTCGCCCCCCGCTTGGCGAATGACTGGCGCGTGACTCGTTCCGCCGGCTCCCCCAACCAGATTGGGCTCGGCAACTGGCAGGGCGGTCCCCTTCCCGCTTGGCCTGCGCTCCTCTGCCCTCTGCGCGCTCCTCGTCGCCCGCCTCTCCCCCGCGTGCTTCCCCGTCCGCTCCGCGGGGTAGCTGCCATAGGTTCCGCCTGTTGCGCCTGGGAGATCGGCATTGTCGCCTCATCGTGTGCCACTGGAGCGTCTTGAGCGTTGGCCAAAGAATTTCCTTGGCGCTCTTGGCCGCGACTGCACCGCGTAGAGCGATCCTGCTCCCCGTCCGCTTCCTCCTGCACGCCCTGCCGCGAGCGTGCCTGTTGCTCCGCCGGCGTCCGCTGATCAGATCCGCCGCCACTTCGAGGACCAGCGGCGTGAAGTGGCTCTGCGCGCGGGCAGGTCTTTATCACTGCGGGAGCCCCCGCGCGCGGGGTTTGTCTTGCGCTCCGGCGCAGAGACTGTGGCGCACCAGGTGCGTTCGCCTCGCCGTCGGTCATCGGCAACTCGCGACGATAAGCGGGAGAGTCGCCACGATGATCGTCACGGTGCGGCCCGTTCACCGCTGTCGCCTCGTTCGCCTCGTCGCGTGGCGTCGCGAAGCCGATCCCGTGACCGCCGTTCGCATCGTCATCGTTCGCCCCCTCATCGTTCATCTCGCCAGCGGTCGCCTGCCCGCCAGACGCCTGGGCGTCAGCCCCCAGCTCCGCGCTCGCCCCCTCCTGCTAAGCGCCAACGGCTCTACTCCCCTCGTCGCGGGGACCGTTTTCCTGGCCGCCAGCGTCAGCACGGCCCATCTCGCCCGCAGTCGCCTATGCGCTCGAGCGGAAGTGGGCGTGCGCGTCGTGGGCGACGGGGGGGTGATAGCCGCGGCGGAAAAGCGCGTCGAGCGCCGTCCACAATGGAGCGCCGTCTTCTGGATAGGCTTGATGACGTGGAGAAGGAGCTTCGTCGCTCGCGTGCGGGGTCGGCGTCACCATCAGATCCTCGCGCTGCTCCCGTCGTCCCTCTCTCCGCGCTCCTGCCCCACAATCCCTTTGGATCCCCGGCGCGTTCAGAGCGGCCGCTGCTTGCGGGGATGGGCTTCGTAGGTGCTGGTGGCGGGCCGCCGTGGGCTCAGTTTGCTCCGCCGCGTCCTCTTCCTGCTCCGCGTGATCTCGCCATGTCGTCTCACCGTGCCCGCACATCTGCGTTACTTCCGCCGATGAAGGAAGTTCCCACGGCGACCCTGGCCCGCCTATGGTCGCTGGCGGCGTCCCTGCAGAGCCTTGAGCGGATTCTCCAGGAGTCATTTGACTCCATGCCGGTGAGCCCTCCGTGCAGGTTCTCTCAGAAACCGCGAGCAGATTGTCATGCGGCGGCGTCAGCGCTATTCGCGCTCGTAACGCCACTGCAGGTAGCGCCCTCGCCGGGAGCAACCTCGGCCAGCCAGCTGGTTGACTCGGCCCTGGCTCTGAGGACGCTTGTAGCAGGCCCTGGTACTCCTGTTGACGTTGTAGGGACCACCGTATCTGTGGTCCGCCAGTTGTGGGTGAACACGAGCGGAATGCTCGCTGTGGTAGAGGCGGACCGCATGTAGGCGCCCCCCCCTTGCGCGTATAGACTCGTTCCATCCTCTACTTGCTAAGTGTCTATGCTTGCTTTTGTTTGTGTCGGTTGCCTAAGCTACTACCGTCATCGCCCGGATATAAGACAGTGTCGAATTGAAGACATGGGGTGCCGTTAAAACGGGTGTTTCTTATAGATGGGTATTCCTGATTATAAGACAATTGTCGGTGTGTACGAGTTAGGCCAGTATAGGGATTAGGGGCAATCTCATTACTAGGGGGCATCTTCTAAACGGTTTTTTGTCCATTTATAAGAATTATAAGACACCCTCAACCGTCCCAATTACAAGACACAGCAAGCTTTTTTTCTAATGTATAAAATAAGACATATATGTCTTCTATCCGGGCGATGACGGTACTGCTTAAGAATGAGAGAAAGAAAGAATGAGAGATGGAGAGGTCGCCGTGGCCTTAAGTAGTCATGGCATAGGGCAGAAAGCAGAGGGCAGAGGGTAGAAGGGGAGAGGCTAATCCTCTCTCTCTCTCTCTCTCGCTCTCTCGAACAACACCAAATTTTTCAGCACCAACCCTAAACTCTCTCTCTCTCTCTCTCTCTCTCTCTCTCTCTCTCTCTCTCTCTCTCTCTCTCTCTCTCTCTCTCTCTCTCTCTCTCTCTCTCTCTCTCTCTCCTCTCTCTCCCTCTCTCCTCTCTCTCTCTTTCTCTCCCTCTCTCTCTCTCTTGCTCTCTCTCTCTCTCTCTCCTCTCTCTCTCTCTCTCTCTCTCTCTCTCTCTCTCTCTCTCTCTCTCTCTCTCTCTCTCTCTCTCTTTCTCCCTCTCTCTCTCTCTCGCTCTCCTCTCTCTCTCTCTCCCTCTCTCTCTCTCTCTCACTCTCTCCCTCTCTCTCTCTCTCCTCTCTCTCTCTCTCTCTCTCTCTCCTCTCTCTCTCTCTCTCTCTTTCTCTCTCTCTCTCTCTCTCTCTCTCTCTCTCCCTCTCTCTCTCTCTCTCCTCTCTCTCTCTCTCTCCCTCTCTCTCTCTCTCTCTCTCTCTCTCTCTCTCTCTCTCTCTCTCTCTCTCTCTCTCTCTCTCTCTCTCTCTCTCTCTCTCTCTCTCTCTCTGTTCATGCTCTGCCCCTTATGATAGAGTTGATCCTTTAAAACCCGTGGGCCAAGAAAGCTCAAATCGATTCAAGCTTCCTAACTTCAGTTGAGTGAGCTCCTTCTACCCAGAATATAGACCAATGGCATCGCTCGCCCCAACCAACCTAAGGAGCTTTGAACAACTTGGCCCACGGGTTTAAGCTGTATCGGGATATACCAACAGTGCCACCTTATGGTTCAATACTTGAGAAGTCTAAGAGAGAAGGTGGGGCCTGCAATGGGAACGTGGCTTATCGACTCTTTGCCTCTAGTGGTTAGTGCCAGGACCCATCGACTGTGCGAGGGGGGCTCAATTGCTTGAGCCTGTTCCAGTGCACATTCTCATGGCGTAGAGAGCACCGATGGGTATGTATGCAGGCTTCAGCTCGTGAGCCTGTGATTTATTTGCAAGCCGGAGTGGCATTGCTTCCCATACCGTAATACCCCGGATATAAGCGCATCTGCGCTTATAATTAAACACTGTTTTTTAAGGGATGCGCTCATAAATGAGTCATAATTATAAGCGCATGCGCTTATGTAATGAAAAACACAAAAATATGTTATAAACACACCAAACTGTGCATCTCAGTCTTGCAATCTCATTCACATCGAAATGTGTGGAGCGTTCTGAATCAGAATCGCGTGAGGGCGATTCTCTGCCGGCGCACAAGGGCAAGGACACGTCACTTTCGCATAGGAATGTGTCATGCTCGCCCCAGCCCAGGGTACGAACTAATAGCTTGCAGTCGCTCGTTCGCATCGTACAGGCTTGCCCCAGTGTACGACCAATGGTTTGCAGTCGTTCGCTCGCAGCGCACAGACAAGAGTTTTTCCCGAGCCCCTCTGTTAGGTCAACTTCGCGCCGTTGCGCTTTTCCTGAGCGAACCCGTCCTCGAGGGGGTCGATCAGAGTAGAAGTGGATGTGGCCTCGCTGCAAAACGTGAAGTTGTTACTATTTTAATCCATTTTTTTAAAATATGTATATACATGCATTTATAATAAATCAGGGTTTTATAAGGGGTGCATTTATAATTGAGGATTGACCATAAGCGCATTTCTCCAGATATAAGCACATGCGCTAACATGGGCCTGCGCTTATATCCGGGGTGATACGGTAAAAGCTGACTACACTTTTAATGGATGTAGCCACTACGCAGCATTGACGAGAACAAGGTTGGGCAAATCTACTAGCTATTGTCAAGGAAGGGTAATGCGCGTGCTCGCCTTCGAGCATGCATCCATGTGCGTGCTAAAACCGGAGGTCCAAGAGTTTCTATGTTTGGAAGGTTGACAGGGGAGAGAAAGGTGACTGGCTCGCGAGCCAGGGTGGCGTCGAAATTGGTGGTCTGGGGTCGCTACGGAAGAAAATTCCGCGAATAATAACCAGATCTGGAATGCAACGTCAGAACTGGTTTGCAGGCAGTTTCGGACCGGCTTCAAATTTGTTGGCGAAATCGTCACTGCTTTCATCCAGTAGTTTCGCGTGACGAAAATCGTCCCCCCGATTTGCGAAGTGAGTCGTACCTACTGGATCACCCCCTCTCAAAGTTAGGAAGGTTGAGGCACTTTGGGGCTGTTTGGGAGTCCGGTTTTAACAATCTAGGAGAGAATAGCACCAGCTTGTAGAAGAGTAGCATCATGTGTGTGTGCGTGTGCACGAGTGTGTGAGTGGGTGTGTGAGTGGGCGTGGGAGTGCGACTGCTGTGCATGCTGCTCTGGCCTGCAGCGTCAACACCGCTGCTTATTCCCCGGCCTCTCAGCTCTCACAACCGAACACTCCCCTCCTTTTCCCAGCAATAACGTCTTAAGTCTACCCAAAACTGCACTGCCTCCTGTCCTTCCTCCCTGCACCCATCAGCACCACGCCAGTTGCGGCCTCCCTACACCCTGGCACCCTCCTCCTCCCTTGCACACTTGCAGCACCGCACCTCCCCCCCCCCCACCCATGCTGCTCACCCCCCCTCCTCTGCCTTCCCACCGAGTTCGGATGGGCTTTAACTTGCTGCCATGCGCTGCTAGCGACAGGTCCTCTGGTCGAAACGTTGGGGGGAGGGGCGTGCGGGGCGACGAGGAGAGAGAGCAGAGGCAGGCACAGCAGGAGGAGGAAGAGGAGGATGAGGAGAGGGAGGAGACGGAGGAGCAAGGGGAGGAGAGCGAGGAGGAGGCGTGGAGGAGCGTGGGTGCGGTGGTGTCAGGGGGTGGTGGGCAGGAGGAAGGGCAAGGGGGAGGGGGGGAGCAGGAAGGGCAGGAGAGGCAGTAGCCGCAGGAGGAGAGGAACTTGTGGAGGGGGTCGAGCAGTCGGTGCGGACAGTCTCTTGTTGCCACTGTCCCACTCGCTGGCACCTGCCGGGCGGGGGTGTGTGAGGGGAGGGGAGTGGAGCGGGAGAGGAGGAGGCATGAGCGGGATGATGAAGGGAGGAACGATGGATGGATGGGTGCAGAGGTTGAAGGAGGTTCATTGTGGCATGGAGGGAGTTGACTGGCGTGGATGGACGCATTGCATGGTCATGACATGGTCACTGCATGCTCACAGCATGCTCACAGCATGGGTATGGGATGGTCAGAGCATGGGTATAACATGGTCACAGCATGGCACAACACAACATGGCATGGCAGGGCATGGCGATGGGAGCAGGGGTACCTGGAACCAGGCAGCGAGGCGGCGGGGGAGGTGGGCATGCAGGTGCAGGGCGTCATCACGGAAGGGCGACATCTCCCCCACCACCACCAGGCACGGACACCGCATCCCCGCCAGCTGCCCCGTCAGGTCCTTGCGCCTGCGCGCACCGCATCAAACCCGAGGGGGGAGGGGATAGAGTCATGCAGGATCGAGGAAAGAGGGTTGCTTTCAGTGGGGCGCGCAGAAGGTGATGGAAACTGCTTGAGAGAGGCGGGTCGGCAAGGTTAGTGGGGTGTGAGGGACTGTGATGTGCATGTGAGCAGCAGGATGCGTGCGCGCAAGAAAACGCATGCGGACATTGCAAGGAAGAGCGGCGCACACGTGTTCTGTGGGAGCGGAGAGAGAGGGTGTGTGTGTGTACATTGTATGCCTGGCATGTGTGCACTCACTGGTCCATGACTCTGATGTACTGCACCATGGCGTCTGCTGCCATGCCCCGCATGCCCTGATCATGCCCATGTGCCCATGGCACGCATAAATACATGCACATGTCACACATACACGCACGCATGGCACACATAGCACACGTGGCACACACACATAGCACTCGTGGCACACACATAGCACACGTGGCACACACAAATAGCACACGTGGCACACACATAGCACACGTGGCACACACACACATAGCACACGTGCTTACGGCAAACATTCAAGCACGCGCGAAACAGCAGGGAGTGTGCACAAGAGACGACGAGAGAGTTAGCAGATGTGTGGCTTCCCAGCAGCACTCACTCGGCGGTGAATAGAGTCAGAGAAACTGCGTGTGCGCGCGTGAGGTACGTAGCGCAACGACAGCAATGGCATGGCAGGATACCTCTTGAATGGCTGTGAGCTGTGGGGTGGACGGCCGTTGATTGGGCTTGGCGCGCTGCTGGTGGGGATGCAGCGAGACGGTTACCATGCACGGGAGAAGTGGGCGGACGGGGCGGATAGGGCGGAAGGAGAAGGGTGTAAGAGTGACAGGAGGGGCGGAGTTAGTGGCATATGAGGACCGCGTGCACGTCGAAGTGAAGGGTCATGGCAGCGTTGACGCCTCCCATGCACAGCGGAGGTGAACCGCGATCACGCCCGAGCAACGCAGAAAGGCCGACGCACAGCGGGGGAGATGCACAGCAAATGGAGAGCACGGGGAAGGGGTTGGCGCGCACAGCAAGGGGCGCGCACTGCGGGAAGGGCGCACAGTGGGGGGACGTACGGCGAGGGGGATGTATCGCTGCATGAGGGCAGCGGAGGCAATGGCGGAAGCTGCGCCGACGAGGGACAGGGACGACACCAGCACCTGTAACGCACGGGGTGCGTGCGACGGGTGGGGGGGTGGGGGACGGGAGAGGGCGGGGAACGCTTGTTTTGCGTTGAAAGAGTTCCTCAGAACGAGCGGGTGGGAGAGTGAGCGTGCGTGAGACGAGGACCGTTCAATGCAGGTACGTGCGCCGCAGCGCAGGGGCGGGAGAGCGTGGGCGGCGTACCTTGGACGCGCCCCACTCGGCCCAGGAAGGGGGGCGGCAGAGCGGCGAGATGAGGATGAGCGAGCGCACGAGACACGGATGGCGCAGCTGCCTCGGGGGGGAGACGGGGAGACGGGGACAGGGGGAAGAGTCGGGGATTGCGGAGGGCGAGGGTGGGAGGCAGATCAACAGCGGGTGACGCAGGGTGAGGTAGCATGAGATGAAAACGCAGAGGCCGACTGGGCAACGGTGAAAGAGCAAACGAAGGGGGGGATGGAAAGCAGAGGAGGAAGGAGGCATTGCGATGGGAGGTGAGGTGAGGCGAGGCGAGGCGAGGCGAGGCGAGGCGAGGCGAGGCGAGACGAGCGTACCGCGAGCAGCGTGAGGATGTACGCGCCCGCTGTGACGCCCATGCACGTGACGTCCATCAGCCTGCTCACCACGCACGCGGGGTGGGCGGAAGGCCGGCCAAGGGGAGGCAGGGGGAAGGGAAGGGAAGGGACGAGGGGATGGGACGGGGAAGGGAGGGGAAGGAAAGGGAGGAAGGGGAAGGAAAGGGAGGAAGGGGAAGGAAAGGGACGGGAGCGGGGGAAGGGGGAGCCACAACAGGCGGTGCAACGAATGGAGCTGCGATTATGTAAGCAGCGTAAGCGGGCGCGGAGCAGCAGTACACCATCCCGCGTGTCGCCAGGATGCTTTGACACGGGACCGTGGGGACTCGATTCGCCGGCGGGCCGGGAGGTACTCCTCTCTCGGACCGCCACATAGGAGTCGCAGCGACGCGGGAATGGCATGGCATGCGCGCGCAGTAGCAATGGCGCACCTGAGCGCGTTGATGACGTCAGCGACTTGGTCCACCATGTCCTGCGCCGTGCCGTGGGACGCGGATCCGCGCAGATGCCGCGCGCCGTCCTGCGGAAGAACGTGACGGTGATAAGCGTCCAGAAGGGGATTCGTCGCGAAGTCAGCGGCCTCTATGCGGAAGAGCAGTGCATTACTAGCGAAAAAACAATCGATTCTTCGTTCTTCTATTCGCGCGTTCATCCCCATCGGCGCACAGCGCGCGGCCCACGCACCTGGTGACCTGGTGCGTCGATGTGGAAGAAGCAGAAATGGTGGCGCAGCATGGGCGCCGTGTCGGGGCAGCGCATCAGCGGACCGAAGCACATCTTGTCTGCGCGCAAGGCGAAAGGGGCAAACGCACAAGGAACACCCGCAGTGCAGACAGGATTCTGGAATGCAGCACCGTCTGCTGACAACTGTGAGCAGCAGTACCCCCTCTTTTATTCCCGCCCACCTTCAGCCTTTTTTTCCCCCGTCCCCAGCCCTCGCCCGCCTTTAATTTCGAGATGTCCGACTTACGGTTCATGCCAATGTCATGATACGTGATAAGCGGCAGCTTGCTCCTATCCCCGACGACCGTCACGTGAATGGGTCCAAACCTCGTATTGACGACCGTCACCTGCCAGGTGTGGCGGGATGCGACGGGGGAAAGTGGCTTCGGCCCTAAAGCGAGGCGTGAACGACTGAGATGCTTGCGACGCGAGAGTGCTAAGCGTTGACGCGTCTCGAAAGCTGCTGGTGGTGAGGTGATGGGAAGCTTGTTTCAAACGCGGGAAAGGCGCGAGCGCACCTCCTTTGGTTCACTGGTCGAGTCGAACTGGTCAGATGGCAAGCAGCAGCAGTCTTTCGCGTTTCCCCCGCTGCTGCTTCTGCCGCTACTGCTCCACCCGCTACTTCCATCGTTGAACGGCTGCCACGACGGTTCCAGCCAGAGCCATTCTGCTGCCATCTCAAGTTACATTCGCTGATCTAGAGAGCTGCTGCTGTTGGATGCACACAGTCTTGTACCTGTTAGCTGATGTAGATGTGTGATTTCCTAGTACAAGAATGCTCGTGTGACGGGCTTTGGAGTAAAACTTAGTACGGAAAGTAGATGGTTTTTGCTTCGTTGTCTTGAACACCTTCTCTGCTCTTGGTTGCACACGCAGGCTGGTTGGTTGCACAGAAGCGGCGCGACTTTGTCCACCAAGCATTGTTTATGCACAGAGGTCAGTTCTGGTTTCCGAACAAAAAAACTTCCCTCTTTTTCGAGATTTGTTTCCAGATTACAGTGACTGAATGCTTAGCAAATAGCTGGCAATACCTTGCGGAAGCTGGCACTACGGTGCACGACGGGCACCTTTCACTCTCAAAAGAGATTGTGCGTGTCGCATTCAATGTGTGTGCAACCGGAGCGCGGAGCCTACATTTCCGTGCCCAAATTTATTCTTGGCGAGTCACGTCTTGCGCCCACTGTGAATTCATCTCCACAGCACTTGCCCCAATATCCGCGTTGACACCGTCCAGCGGCACGAAAATCAGCGAGGGGGAGAGGTTCGGGGTTGGGGGAAGCCGAGGGTTGGGTCATCAATCACATCATCACCGCACCGACCAACCTGGGTCCAATATTGACTCCACTTCGTAGCACATACACGGTAAGAATAAATCAAAGTGTACGGGCGACATCCAGGTATATATCGGGGAACATTGTGCGAGTATGAATACTTATAATGCTATCCCACGTGGTGACCTCCGATTCGTCATGTCAGTAATCTCGGCCTCAGATGTGAATCTACCATGCAGCAGCCCACCGATTGGTGATTGGCGAAGCGCTTTTCCGCATCTCCTCGTACTTCTGCGAAGTTTATGGCGCAGCATTCTCCTCGGCTTTTTCTGGGTTTTTGCTTGAGGTGTCGGATTTGAACATTCAGTTGTCTTCAAAAGCGCCAAGTACTTGCTTTGTGGAGCGGCTCTAGATTCGAGGGTTCAGGTATGGCTTCTCAGTCAGGAAGCTCTTCGTGTCTCGCGCGACTGCTTGTCGTCTACCTCCTCCTCGTCTATTCCTCCCCCGCCGCGTGCTTCTCTGATGCCTTGCGAGTAGATGCCAGTACGCTTCTAGGGTCGGAGGAGAATATAAGCCGTGCCACTGGCAGTGCGAGAGGGAGCGGCGAATCTTCCAGCAGCGGATGGACGTCGCTACTCGCGCTCTTACGAGGGCAGTCCTCGGAGGCAAGGCGTTCAGCGCCGTGGAGCGATGAATTCGTTCGCGCAGATGCGCCCGCTCCAACCCCGTACCCTGTGCCATCTTCGCCGCCGCCCCCCTCACCACCCCCGCCATCACCACCTCCTCCCTCGCCGCCTCCGCCATCCCCCCCTCCTCCGACGCCACCTTCACCCCCGCCGTCGCCGCCTTCCCCTCCCCCACCATCGCCGCCGCCTCCGCCATCCCCCCCACCGTCTCCGCCTCCTTCTCCGCCTCCGCCCTCTCCACCACCTCCGTCTCCTCCCCCTTCTCCCCCACCGCCATCCCCCCCCCCACCATCGCCTCCCCCACCATCCCCACGTCCTCCATCCCCCCCACCAAGCCCCCCTTCACCCCCGCCCCCGTCACCTCCTCCGCCCCCCTCTCCGCCCCCCTCTCCTCCGCCCTCTCCTCCACCCCCCTCTCCTCCGCCCCCCTCTCCGCCTCCCTCTCCTCCGCCCTCTCCTCCCCCCCCGTCTCCTCCACCCCCCTCTCCGCCCCCCTCTCCGCCCCCCTCTCCGCCTCCCTCTCCGCCCCCCTCTCCGCCCCCCTCTCCGCCCCCCTCTCCTCCGCCTGCCCCTGCCTTTCTGAACGATCTGATCGTGGTAGTGGAGGGAACGCCGCGGGATCTTCTGGCCCCCCGATTCTCGCCTGACGTGACTGCATACAACGTGACTGTACCTTCACGGAGTGTGACTCTAACGCCAGTACTATGCGGGGTACGTCTTTGGCACCGCTTCCATAACCTCTTCCAACTTTCAACAACACCGTTCTCTCGAGTGGGCGCTATGCACTTCCACCAATGGTCTGTGTGCTTCCATGCACCTGTGCGCCTGACTCCTCTTCTGTATCTTGACTCTTTCTTTCCCACCCCGCACTGTGTGCGATTCAGGAGGAGTTGTGCAAGGGGATGAAAGTGCGTGTGAATGGGGATGAAGTGGCGAACAACACAGCCAGCCCGCAGCTAGAGTGGCACGACATCAAGGAGGGTGCTGCTGTGGCACGTGCGGATGCTGAAGTCGTGGTGGAGGGTCATGGCTACTCGCCCACCACTTACCATGTGCATGTGCTGCTGGGTATGTGCCATCCACCCCCATGCGTTATGCATGTAGAATCCCTGTTCCAGAGGCATCTCTTGGTACCACGAGGCTGAAGTTTCAGTGGGTGCCATATTTCATACTTTTGAGTTGGATGCATCACTTTCTTCCAACTTCCAAGCATGTCTGCCATAACGGTTTGTCTCCCTCTGCTCTCGCTTCTGACATCCTTTCCCATGCAGTTCCCTCCCGTGCCACCTTTTGGTGGTGGGCCTTGATCATCCTTGTTGTGCTCATCTTTCTGGCTGCGGGGCTGCTCTTTGTGCTCATTACGCCAGAGGCAAGCAGGCCCGCCTGGATGCAGAGCAGCATCCACTGGTTACAGCAGCATGTGCGTGGTGGTGGCTATGCCCCCCTTCCCTCTGCTTAGGTTCCGTTGTGGTTTATACCTTGGGTCACTTCTGCATGAGTGCGATATGATTGTCCAATTGGGTAAAGATATCTCCCATGTACAGACTTCTAAAAACCTTGTGGAATAATTCATACTGTAATATGGAAATGAAATGAACAATAGCGCTATAATCTCCCTTGATCTGATGGAGTCACCAGAGTGCAAACTCCCATTGTAGAGAATTTATAGAATGAAAGCCAAGATGAGATTTTTTGTGCCATGACAAGGCATGAATCGGCTTTGCCGGTATCGAATGTTGGGGATAAGAGCACGAACATGGATTTGCGAGGTGCCCTGAAGGGAAGGAAAGGGGAGGCATGTACAGTCGATGCTCAGCCTATCACAAAACATTCGCTTTCACAATTACAAATTTAGTCACTCGCGAACGTTTTGCCCGTGAGTGACTAAATTGACCATTGTGCCGAGTTCAGGGTACAGTCACCAAGTTGAGGAAGAAACTCATCTACAGTGCATAAACAACAACGGTTGCCCGTCATCAGAGAAGTAAACCTGGTTACGAAATTAAAACCCTTGACTCGATTCACGTTGCAATTTCATATTAGTCACATTTTTGCCCGTGGCGACGAGGGCGAATGTGGCGAAATTACAAAACACGTTTCACGCACATGCCGCCCGTCTACCTGGTGTTCTTGAAATGGGCACCGACTGTACAGTGCAGTGTTGCCCTGAAGTACGAGAGCGCGAGCGCGAGTGATGCAAAAACTCAATGTTCAAAGCTAGTTACTGTACAAGTACACAGGTATGACATGCATTGACAACCCAACCCACAGCCGAGGTTTGTAAGTTTTCGGATGTATGGACATCTGTGCGTTCATTGCCACCACATATCTGCCATCCACCCTAGTCTGCTGGATAGAAGATGACGTCACTCAATAAATTTCTGTGGTTATGACAGGCTTCATTATGGTCAGTACACTGCGGCTAGGCCAGCCTTCACGATGCGTTTCACTGGCTGACGATGTTTCTTGTCCTTCCGACGACGATCTACCCAGATCTTCGCCCAAATTCGCCTGTCGTCGACTACTGGGTGAGAATGTTCACACGTGCCTAGTAGTAATGACAAAGATGACAGTTCCACTTTCGAATCGCGTAGCCACGTAGCATTCCTCACCTACCCTGGTGCAGAAAAGGTCATGTAATAGCCAGCAGAATTACAACTGTGGTGTAGTACATCCGAAACCCCCTAAGTTCTTGTGTAACTCTCATGAGTAGGTTCCTGGTTTTGGGGCAGGCTGGAAAGTCATAGGTTCCTTGCAAAGCCCGAAGTTGGCTGTGCGATGGAAAAAATGAGGGCCCTGTTCGGTAGCCTTCCAGTCATACTGGGCGCACTCGAACTGGGGAAGCCTACGATTTGTTTCGTAGCCTCGGTCCTCCACTCACACTGGAAGGAAGTCTCGTCCGTATTTGCAGTAAGTTACCATGTGTTTATGAAGAAATTTCCATAACATTTTTCCACTTCTTTACGAAGCTGCCCGATCAACAATAAAAAAATCAGCCCGACAAATAGAAACCCCTCGATATGGAAAAAGAAAAAATATGAACGGGCACGATCTCTCACCTTTGAACAAACGGATCAAAATGTATTAATTTGACCCGAAAAGACACTAACGAGACGTATACCCTTCAGCATGCCACTCGGAGCAGGCCTAGAAAGCAGAAATGGGTGACTTTCACTGATGGTCGAGTTTGCCTGTGCTCGCAATTTCGTAGTAAGTGTCCTCGCCCTCACTCTGACTGGGTTTCTTACGCGTTCGGAAGCCAAGTCACACTGGGCGGGTCTGGTGTTCTAATAACGATTTGGTGGGCTTTAACAGGGTTCGAATTTGGGCGAGGAAGATCCCCCGCACCAGCCGCAGTATGACTTGCTGGGCTACCGAACAGGGCCGAGGTGACGATGACCCTGAGTGGAGCTCGGTACGTGCAAGTCTGTTGACATGGGCCCCACCTGTGAGAGTTCCTCTTCTCACCTAGTCTTCCTACTCACAGTTGACTCGTAGGCCCTGATCGCCACGACTTTTGGGCCCTGTTCGCCACGACTTTTGTAGGCCATCAAAGGGATGGGCGGGGGATCCGGAACACGCCCTGCACCTTCCGAAAGGGCCAAAATCAGGGTTTTATGACCGACAAAATCCTGTCGAACCTGACGATCCCCTCCGAGCCTCGGTGGGCTCGCTGTCGTGGCGAACGCCCACTCTTTTGGGCCATCAAAGTGATGGGCGGGGTTCCGGAATGCGCATGGCAGTTTCCTGCCCTGCTAGCTAGGAACCCCATCCCCTCCCTCGCCTCTTCTTCGTGCATACCACGAATTTTGAGGGCGCGGAACAGGATGGCCGGGAAATCTCGCCCTAAAGGAATGGGGGAGGCAGGTGCTAGATCCCCTTGTCCCCCTTCCTGATCCCATTGGCAAAATTTCGAGATCCCCTTGCCCGACGGCGAGCCTCCGGATGTAGTTCGCATCTTCCGGCGCACCTTCTGGATCCCCCGCCCATCCCTCGCCCCTAGCCTTTAACGTGGTCGTGGCAAACACCGCCTTGTAGGCCATCAAAGGGATGGGCGGGGGATCCGGAACCCGCCCTGCACCTTGCAAAAGGGCTGAAATCAGGGTTTCAGGGCCGGTCAGACCGACAAAATCCTATCGAGCTTGACGATCCCCTCCGAGCCTCGGTGGGCTCGCTGTCGTGGCGAACACCCACTTTTTTGGGCCATCAAAGGGATGGGCGGGGGTTCCGGAATGCGCATAGCAGTTTCCTGCCCTGCCAGCTAGGAACCCCATCCCCTCCCTCGCCTCTCCCTCGTGCATACCACGAATTTCGGGGGCGCGGAACGGGATGGCCGGGAAATCTCGCCCTAAATGAAGGGGGGAGGCAGGTGTTAGATCCCCTTGTCCCCCTTCCTGATCCCATTGGCGAAATTTCGAGATCCCCTTGCCCGACGGCGAGCCTCCGGATGTAGTTCGCATCTTCCGGCGCACCTTCTGGATCCCTCGCCCATCCCTCGCCCCTAGCCTTTAACGTGGTCGTGGCGAACACCGCCTTGTAGGCCATCAAAGGGATGGGCGGGGGATCCGGAACCGGAACCCGCCCTGCACCTTGCGAAAGGGCTGAAATCAGGGTTTTACGGCCGGTCAGACCGACAAAATCCTGTCGAGCCTGACGATCCCCTCCGAGCCTCGGTGGGCTCGCTGTCGTGGCGAACACCCATTTTTTTGGGCCATCAAAGGGATGGGCGGGGGTTCAGGAATGCGCATGGCAGTTTCCTGCTCTGCTAGCTAGGAACCCCATCCCCTCCCTCGCCTCTCCCTCGTGCATACCACGAATTTTGGGGGCGCGGAACAGGATGGCCGGGAAATCTCGCCCTAAAGGAAGGGCGGAGGCAGGTGCTAGATCCCCTTGTCCCCCTTCCTGATCCCATTGGCGAAATTTCGAGATCCCCTTGCCCGACGGCGAGCCTCCGGATGTAGTTCGCATCTTCCGGCGCACATTCTGGATCCCCCGCCCATCCCTCGCCCCTAGCCTTTAACATGGTCGCGGCGAACACCGCCTTGTAGGCCATCAAAGGGATGGGTTGGGGATCCGGAACCGGATCTGGCCCTGCACCTTGCGAAAGGGCTGAAATCAGGGTTTTAGGGCCGGTGAGACCAACAAAATCCTGTCGAGCCTGACGATCCCCTCCGAGCCTCGGTGGGCTCGCTGTCGTGGCGAACACCCACTTTTTTGGGCCATCAAAGGGATGGGCGGGGGTTCCGGAATGCGCATGGCAGTTTCCTGCCCTGCTAGCTAGGAACCCCATCCCCTCCCTCGCCTCTCCCTCGTGCATACCACGAATTTCGGGGGCGCGGAACGGGATGGCCGGGAAATCTCGCCCTAAAGGAAGGGGGGAGGCAGGTGTTAGATCCCCTTGTCCCCCTTCCTGATCCCATTGGCGAAATTTCGAGATCCCCTTGCCCAACGGCGAGCCCCCGGACGTAGTTCGCATCTTCCGGCGCACCTTCTGGATCCCTCGCCCATCCTTCGCCCCTAGCCTTTAACGTGGTCGTGGCGAACACCGTCGTATACTAACTCCGAACAACAGTTTTCAGAATCTTTGTTTCGAGCTGCCACACGCCCTTTAATTTATTCCACCGCAAATTGTAGTTTCTGGAGAAGTAATCTCCTGAATATCATGGGTGCACAGTGCTCACTCCGACAATGATGTGCTCCACACGTTCTCTGGTAGGCCTTGCGGCCTCTAAAGGATCCAAGAAGCCCCATTCTCCGCCCCTGTCACACTTCCGGTATGGACTTCCGAGCCTCCACTTCGTGTCTTCCGAGCCAACCTCGGCTCTTGTGAAACCTCCCTAGTGAATTTGCTGGCCCAGAAGAGTGAGACACACGAACTTTGTAAGTACCCCTTTCAAACTGAACACACATTCCGACATAATCATACTGCACAAGCACCCCCCCCTCCCCCTTTTTTTTAGTGTACACCCTAAACTTCAGCAAGTTGCAGCACGAAGGATCAGTTTTGAGGATTCGGAACAAGAGGAGAAGCACAGGCCCAGTCCATGGACTTGGCTAGTTCGCAAGCGACTCTCGGCCGTACGCCCACCACAGAACGAAATTCGCCGCCCAACTGGCAGGCTCGAGGCACTTGTACACGTACCCAACGCAAAGGAATCCAGGTGAGGGTAACCTCTGAGGCAAATGACACACTGTACAAGATCCTCCTGTCATCGCAAGGGAAAGGCGGTGGGGCGGATGATATACTGTACTGTAATTTGTAGGGCAGAGGGATGAGGTTGATGGAGGCATCCCTTCGGTGCACTGGAAATGCAGTGCAGTGGTACATTGCTGCTTCGAAGATCGAACGAACACCAGACCATTTGGGCTGTCCCATCCAGAATCCTCCCCTCCCCAGCAACGAAGCTGAGTTTCACTCCTCCTGACCATATCACCACAAGTTGAGACGTGGAATCCCAACGCGATCAATCCTCACTACCTCGACGAGCTCCACGCCTTTTTCGCCGCGCGCGGTGGTCCAATGTACCGCTCTCATGGCTTCGCGCGATCCATCCTTGTTGAGCTGGCCGTTAAGCGCTTTTTCCGTTCGCGGCGCTAGTTCGCGGGCCCATTAGTAGCGTCCCACACACAAAATCTTCATGACGTTTCACCGTCACTAGTGGTAGAAAACCCCAGCGCGGGTCCATTGTAGTACATTGCGTGGCTGCATTAAGTTCAAATGCTTAGTAGAAAACGCTACAAAGGTCAACTTAGATCGCTGACCCATTAGTAGCATCGCACACTCCACATCTTCGACCGTCACTAGCCCCACGGAACGGCAGCACGCGATGGACGTGGAGCGGAAGCCATGGCTGCCGATCCAAGCCGTCGGCCGGCTGCTGTTTAACCAGCCGCGACGTCTCGCCGTCGTGGTGCTTCCCGACGGCAGCGTCAGCATGTACGGTCCCGGCAAGACGGTGGCGGACGTGCTGGCGGAACATCCGCCGGGGCACTGCGTTAATTCCGCGGACGATCAGGTCCTAGACTCCGCCAAGCATTTGCGCCCTGGCAGCATATATTACCTCAAACCTGCTACCGTTTCTTGCGTAGCGCGGAATGCGGCGGGTATTGGCCGGGAGCAAGCGGAATGCATGGCAGATGCAAACCGTGATGACACTGGTATCGTGGAAGGGAATCTCGCAACCACGGCAGCGGGCAGGTTTCGTCAGCAAAGCGTCCCCGTGCGCCGCAGCATAAGTCACGCCAGCGGTCTGAGCAGCACAGGCGGCGCCGGCGGAAGCGGGGGCAGCGGGAGTAGCGGCAGCAGGGCGAATAGCAGCAGCAGCTGCAGCAGTAACAGCAGCGCGCACAGCGCCGTGGCCGTGTCCGATCCGTGGGGCCGATTGGATCCGCGGAGAAAGCGCGGCGGGCCTGGCAGACGCAACAGCATGGCGGCCGCCGCCGGCGGAGGGGGAGGAGGTAATGGCACGGGGAGCAACGGCGCGAGCGCCGGCGGCCGTCATTCGTCCAGCTCGGGGATTCGTCGCATGTCGCTGTCGCTTGATGACCTCCCCGAACTCGACGCAACCGCACTGCCGCACCTGCTCCGCGCGCACGTTCCGCGCAGTCAGAGCATGTGCGATCGGCGCGAGGGTTCTTCGGCGGCGCCAGCCGCGGACGGCAGGGGCGGGAGCGGGGGCGGGGGCGGAGGCGTGTGGAACCGCATTCGCCGTCGACGCGCGTCGTTCTCGGTGGGCAGCCCGTCCGGCGAATTGGGGACGGAGAGGCCCCATCGCGCGCCGTGGTCCGCGGTGGCGGAGGAGGAGGAAGAAGAGGAAGGCGCCGCGCCAGCGCCAGTAGCAGCCGCGGGTGACGACAAGGGCTGGTTGCGCGATCTTGTGGGCGCGGGGAGGAACTGGCGGGGCATCCGCATCGGCGGGGGCAAGGACCGGCAAATCCCCGCCGCGCTGGCGGAAAACGGCAGCGAGCGAGGCTGGTTGCGCGGAAAGATGGGTTCCGCGAAGGGGCGACGCGCGTCGCTGTCCCTGGGAAACCTGCGGGAGATGCGGGAAAATCAAGAGGGAGGAGAGGGCAACAGGGGTGACTCGTCCCGCGTCGATGACGTAAAGCCAGAAACGGGGGGTGAGTGGAGGGAGATAAGTAGCAGCTTCAATCAGAGAGATCCGTGGAAAGCGGATCTCACACACAAGTTAAAGATACCAGCGTCCTTAACTCACGTTTCTCTCTCCCCGCACGTGTGGAGCGCGGAGGGGGAGCAGACAGACGACGGCGCCTGCACCACCCCCGGTAGCATCGCTTCGCAAGCGCGGCGCCCTGTCACTCCGCGCACGCCTCTCGCTCCCGCGGACCTTGCGCAGCACGCGGGGGTTCCGGCGGACGGGCTGACGGCGGAGCGGAACGGCGCAGATCCGCGGGGTTGGCGAGGCGGAAATGTTGGAAATGGGCAAGCCCCGGGGGTCGGGCGCGGACGCGCTGCGTTCCCTAGGAACGCGAGCGTGGATAGCGGGCGACCCATGGACGAGGGGGCATGGGAGGGCTTGGCGCACGCGTGTCTCTTTCCAGGAGGCAGCCGAGTCGCGCATTGGCCCGAAGAAACGAGCTTGGAGACGGACGGGATGACGGGTGGCAGTAGGCAGATAGGGCTACCAGGGACAGAGCAGGAAGGAGGGCACATAGGATGGGGCAGCGGCAGAGGAGGCAAGGGGGGTTGCGAAGAGCGGTACATGCAGCAACAGCAACAGCAGCAGCAGCAGCAGCAGCAGCAGCAGCAGCAACTGCCAGAGCAGCAGAGGCACCGGCGGTCGTCGTCCTTTAGCCCCCAGGAAAGAGAGTTGTTATTCTCCTCGCCATGGGACCGCCCCCCCCCTCGCTCACCACCAGCGCGCCCCCACACACCTGAATGGGGGCAACTGCAGCCGCTACAGCCACTGCAGGGTCACACAGGCAGAGGCATGCAGCATGCGCCACAGGTTTTGCCTGTGCATGTGATGCAGCCGGGTTCGCCTGTGCAGGACGGCAGGCAGCATGCAGAGAAGGCGCAGCAAGCACAGCTGTACCAGCAGTTTGACAGGTACATGCCGTATGGTGTGCAGCAAAGGCAGCAGCAGCAGCGGCAGCAGGTATCCCTTCCCCGGATGTCACCTTCCAGCCATGCGCTGTCAGAGTCCTGGCCAGCAGCGGGGAGGAATGGGGTGAATCCCCCCTACCCAGACATCATGAGATGAGGTGCAGCACGGAGGCAGTGTTGCAACCATTTGGGCCCATGTGTGTGTGTGTGCGAGAGGGTGAGTGTGAGTGAGTGTGTGTGTGTGTGTGCGCGCGTGTGTGTGTGAGTGAGTGTGTTAAGTGAGTGAGAGAGTGTTCTCTTTGCGTTGTGTGCATGGATGCACATGTTTCGTGTGGTAACAAGCATCAAGTAGCTCCAATTGATGCTTGCTCGTGCAGTTATACACAGTAGCTTGACACACTGCTAGCAGCGGCTTAGGTCAATACAGTGCCATTTTTGTGTGTGATATTAGCTGTGTGTCGTTCTTGCTGTGTGGAAATGTTATTACCGGTACAGTAACAGCCAGAAAGCAAAGCCCACAACAATGTTCCATTCACCCTCTGTTCACGGTAGATGTTCAAGGGAGCACACTCAGTCGGGCAGAGCTCGACAGTTCTGTACCGTAACTTGCACAGCTCATTTGCCAGCAGGAAAGTGTTGGTTGGCGCACTAATAAATCTCCTATTGGCGGAACTTATTTCATCAAACCTACTGTAACCAGGTTTCTGCCACAACCGACAACGTGAATGTGGTGTGGACCCTCATTTAGGTAATATGCGAGGGCGAGAGAGGGAGGGAGACAGCTTTGAAATCTACCAACACAGCTGCACTAGCCCCCAAATATGCAGGTTTGCTGCTTAGCAGCGTTAGCGACCCCCACTCCATGTATCACCCACATCCGGTACCATTTTCGCTCATCTCATCATCTCCCCAGATTTGTCAGCAAGAAGCCACACAAGCTGAAACGGTACAGTAGGTACTCTTCGACTTTCCTCTTGCACAGATGGACAGAGAACCCGCAAGTCCCCACCCCATGTTAGAAGCATTCACATGCACATCGTAGAGCCACCAGGTAACTTGGGCATACAGAAAGAGATCCAGCCCTGATCCGACCTACTACGGTAGTAGCTTCCATACAAAGTGAAATGGCACGTGGGTGCCAGCATGGTTGCTCCCAAAGACTATGCCTACTACACCTGTTTGTCCAACACATCTGCACTCCCAACCACTGCCTCCGAGTCTTTCCCCACCACACCACTCCCACTCCCACTCCCACTCCCACTCCCACTCTCAACCCCCCCCTCTCCTGCTGCTACACCTCCTGAGCCCTCCGGTACTGAGCTCCTATTTGTCTCCTCATCCTTTTCAACCGCCGCCACCCCTGCACCATCAACAGCAGCACCTTTGGCAGGCATAGGCACCGTTGCCACCACTTGAATGCTCGGGCACCACCCTGCCCGCCCCTTCCCCCAGTCCACAGGAAACTTTTTCTCATCTGCCTGCTTCCACACAAGCAGCGAGGCCTCCAGCCAACCAGGATGCACCAGGTGGCGCTTCTGTGACACGGCCCAGATGGCCTTGTCCGTGCCGCAATCCAGCGCCACGACGTGTGTGATCTGCGGACCAATCTGGGTGTGACACGTGGCGCCCATGGATTCGGCCATGCGCCAGAGTGGGTGGGTTTGCGGGCGGGACGCGTCTGTGGGGAAGACTCGGCTGAAGACCAGGTGGCAACCTGATAGGATGGTGGCGCGCTCCTGTGCTAGGATCTGAGCAAGGGGTGTGGGCGGGTGGGGGGTGGCGGGGGTTTAGGGAAGGCGAGGCAGGAAAAGGTAGGCAGCAAGTTGAGATGTGCGTGATAAAGTGTGGAGGTGGGAGGTGAGAGGTTACCACGGTGAGAGGTTGCTGACTGAAATGATGTGTGGTGGGATGGATAGGTGCACATATACATACCTGTCTCACGTCTGCTGAGTGCCGCCCTTGGTCCACCTGCAAGAGAGCAGGCAGGGGTAGGCAGGGACAGAGAGGACGGAGCGGGGTGAAAGGAAAGGGAAGGGAGGGTGGAATGACAAGGGAAATTGGGCAGTGTGGTGGGAGGAGAGGCGAGCTAGAGAGGAAAGGAACAAGGAAAAGAGAGACTGTCAGTTGTGGGAGAGGGGTAATGGGGAACCGGGAGGAGTGTGCGGAAAATAACGCATTGACTGGATGTGCAACACATACTAGCAGATTCACACACACAGAGAACCGTCTCTACCCCACCCCCACCCAACCCGTCTCCATACCCGCACTCCCCCTCCCCTCCTCCCGCCTTCCTCCCCATCCCAGCAGCACTCCAATCCACCTGGTGCAAGAACCTTCAGTATCCAGGTGCCTCGATGCGCTCTCTCCCATCCACCAGGTGACTCGATGCGCTCTCTCCCATCCACCAGGTGACTCGATGCGCTCTCTCCCATCCACCAGGTGACTCGATGCGCTCTCTCCCATCCAGCAGAAGGATGACTAGCGCACGGACCCTCAGCGCACGGACCCTCAGCGCACGGACCCTCAGCGCACGGACCCTCAGGGCGCCTCCATAACCCAGAGAGCCGACCCTCTCACTCACAAATCCCACCTGCTCAAAGAACATCTGGTGCGTGCGGGAGAGAGGCGTCCAGAGGGCGTCGAGCAGCCCACCCGCATCCGCCTCATCCACGTAAGACGGTGGGTCAGCTCAGCACACTATCAAGTCAACCCACGACACTCCTTGCCTTCCCCCCCCCCCCCCGGCATCAGCACCCGCCGCAACCCCCTCCTCTTCCCCTCTCCCCCCTGGCCCGCACCTGGTGGAAGAAGCGCTGGTGCGTGCGGGAGAGGGGCGTCCAGAGGGCGTCGAGCAGCCCACCCTCATGGGCCTCGTCCACGTGGGACTCCAGCAGCGAGGGGCCCGGCAGCAGGAAGTGCTGGCGACTGCTGGCAAAGAAGTGGTACCGCTCCACTAAGAGTAGGTTGTGCCGGTGCTTCGGCCACACCTGGTGGGGGAGGGTGAGGACGGGGAAGGGGAATGGATGTGGATGGGGATGGGGAGTGGGAACGGGGACGGGGAGTGGGGCAGGGGAAGGGGGAAGGGAAGGGGAGTGGGGAAGGGAAGGGGACAGAAAAGGGGAGTGAGAAGAAGGGGAGGAAAGGCGGTTCTGGGGGTCAAGGGAGGGGAGGAAGGTAGTAGAAGTCATGGGGGTTATGGTGTGGGTGGGAATGAGGGGGGGGAACACACGGAGCATGAAAAAGGGCAGGCAGCGGTAGCTAGGGTGAGAGGAGAGGAAGGAGCACCGACGGTGCAGATGAGCGGGGAGGTGCAGGAGATGAGAAAAGTCCACCCTCTCCTCCTCCCCCCCATTTACCCCCCCTGAGCAAGACTCCCAACCCCTCTTCCCCATTATTCCCCCCACGCACCCACTTCCCCACCCTCCCCCCCGTCTATTCCAATCCTTCCCCCTCACGACCCCCGCTTCCCCATTCCCGCCCCCGCACCACCCCCGCCCAGCTTCATCACCCCAACGCCCTCAAACCCCATCCCCCCTGCACGCACCACTTGGGAGTCATCAAGAATGAGCACCATGCTATCGGCCCCCAGCACCGCATCCAGGTCCTCAAAGAGGCAAACCCCCTTTTACCATTCCTCCCTGCCAGCCCCCAGTCCCCCCAATCCCACCCCGAGAAACCACTTCAGAGTCGTCAAGAACGAGCACCATGCTGTCCGCCCCAGCACCACGTCCAGGTCCTCAAAGAGGCAAACCACTCTTCACCAATGTCCCCCCCTCGCACCCCGTACACCCACCCATCCCCCCACAGACAATCAATTCCCCAATCGCCCCCCCACCCCCCCATCCCCCACGCACCACTTCAGAATCATCAAGAATGAGCACCATGCTATCGGCCCCCAGCACCACGTCCAGGTCCTTGAGTCCGCGCACCGTGCTGTCCCCGTGCGAGATCACCCTCCCGCCAAACAGCCGCCCTGTGGGGTCCAGCAGCGCCGCCATGGCGTGTGCGTACGCGCGCTCGCCGTTGGTGTACACTACCAGGTCAAACAGGTCATGCGCGCGCTGCAGGAAGGATGCGATTCCGGGCCGGAGTTTCGTCCACATGCGGATGTGGGGCAGGCGGAAGAGGGTGATGGGGGGAGGGGCGGCGGGGGTAGAGGCGGGGCTAGCGGTAGCGGCAGCAGCAGTGGGGGCAGTCCCTGGGTTGTCACCTGTGCCTGCGCCTGTGCTTGTGCCCCGCTCCCTTTGCTCCGCTGCCGGCTCTGCAGCACCCGCCTCCCCGCCTGATGCTACCGGCGCTCCTGCTGGTTGTCCCCCCGTGGCAGCACTAGGAGCGGGCACTTCTGACCCAGTGGCCTCTGCTGCACGCGTACACACAGCACCACCGCTGGCACCGGCATCAGCATCGGCAGCAGCGGCAGGAGGAGCAGGAGGAGAGGCCGCGGCAGCAGGAGCAGCAGGTGTAGCAAGGGAATCAGGCGGTGACACAGCAGGGGGCGGGTGAGGCCCAGCAGGTAGCCCAGCAGGTGGGGCAGCCGGTGGCAAAGCAGGCGGCAGAGCAGGCGGCACGCCGCCGATGGTGTAGGCGGCAGCGAGGTAGGCCTCATGGGCGGGCGGGACGTCAATGTCGCGAGCGGAGTTGAGCAGCGTGTGGTCCAGGTCCAGCACCAGGTACAGCCGCCGCCGCCGCTCCATGCGCGCCCGCTCCTCCCCCACCATGCGCGCCGCCTCCTCCGCTGACACCTCCAGCGCCTGCGAGCAGTGCCCGGGGGGGTGGGGAAAAAAAGGGGAAGGCGGAGGAGAGGAAAGTGGGAGGGTAGTTTGGGTCCTTGCGAGCCTTTGGAGTTGCTTTCAGTGGGGTTGGGAAGGGACTGGACAGGGTGCCGGAAGGGAAGGTTGGGGGGAGGTAACAGGGGTTGTTTTAGGGGATGCGGCAGATTGGATTCGAAGGGCACGGGAAGGCAGGCAGGGGGACGGACGGAGCATAGCGACTGGTGCTGAGCGGACGAGTAAATCAGAACTTCGAGTATGTGGGATGGAAGTGCATTCACACTCACGTGGTGAATATATTTAAGGGCTACACCGCCTGCCACGTCAGCAGCAGCCTTAGGCGGTTTCTCCCTGACCCCATCACCAGGCCCACCCCGCACCGCCGCGCCACCACTTCCACCACCGCGCGCGATTCCCGCGCCCCTTTCCTCCCCCGCCTCCTCGTCCGCCTCCGCGCGCTCCTTGAGAATACCGCACCGAATGCACACGCCCCACATAAACCCCGGATGTGGTGGGCATCCACTGCTCTTGCGCTCCTTTCCCCCCTTTCCGCCACTCCCCCGGCCATCGCTGGCGGCACTTGCGCCTCTTTCACGGTCAGTTTCGCGGCCATCCTTCCCCCCAGCGCCCAATACTGCACTCGCCTCTCCCCCGCTCGCGCCGCCGCCGCACATCCGCCGCCGCTTCCCGCCGCCATCCTCGTCGAGCCCTTTCCGCGGTTCGACCGGTCCCGTCGTCGCAACCCCTGGTGATACATCGCCGCCGGCAGCCGGCTCTTCCCGCATCGCCTCGTCCTCGATTGTGTCGGCGGCATCAGTTTCGTCGTAATCCGCTACTGTATCGCCTATTGCATCGGCTGTTGCTTCCCCGTCCTCCGCCTCCCCCGCCTCCGCTTCCGCCTCCTCCGCTTCCCCCTCTCCCTGCTCCTCGTCGTCCGCTTCCTCGTCCCCCTCGTCGACGCGCACATCCTCCAACTCCGCCTCGAGCAGCGACGCGAGCTCGTCCGCGCTGCCGCTGCTGGACGGCGACGAGGGGCTGGGAGAGGTCGGCAGCACCATCTCCATATTCGCCATTCCACGACCGCGCGACCTGTAGAGTGGTCTTTAGTTCTAAACGAATCGATAGCTGTGGAGCTTGAGAGTGGTGCACCTTAAAGAATCGCGGGAGTTTCCAGCGACGCGAGAGCAACAGTGTTAGGCGTTAAGAAAGACGTTCAATAGAGTACCATCGGGCCCGAAGTACTTGAGGCGCTTCGTAACTTGGGTAGACAGCCAGGCATGGACTTGGGAAATGCCGACACCTCTTCATGCGGGCAGGGCTTTAGCGTGGGCATGCAACCTTGGGATGCTCTCTGCCATTTTGTCGTACACTGGGTGATCCGCAGAGGCAGACAAATTCCTCTCTGAATGGTTTGGCTTGTGGGGCCATGCGATTTCAAGTACAGAGCAGTCGGTTTTCTACAGTAACGTGTCCACATGTATTGTCGAATAACGAGGAGGTCAATGTCGAAGTTTGGGGAAACGCCTAAGGCTCCGCGTCGCGGCACTTGCTTTGCCTGCCTCAAACTTCTGTGTGGGGTCAGGAAGACTCGGGGCACCAATCGGGACAAACACAGCGCACCGCACTGAGCTGCTTGTTCGCACTTGGTAGGTTTGGTTGGGATGAGACCAAACTCTCGAGCTGATCGCCTTCACAAGCAAAATCGAACTGCCGCCGTGCCTGGTGACATGAGCCGCCGCTCGCCCGCAAGTTGGCCTTGGGAGCAGCGCTCCACTGCAGCTGCTGCTCGTCCAGTCTCGGAGTTTGCTTGCGAGGGCTGGAAATGCGACGCGATCAGAGTGACGCCGCAGCGACGTCGTCAGCCGCGGTGATTTCTTGCTTCTTGTACTGCTACTGAGGTTTACCATCATGTGTGACAATTCAGTGTGATCCCACTGAAAGGTTTTTCAGGCTTGACGTACCTTCTCCTGCACACCTGATTCTTGTCAAGATTCGTTGTCAAATAATGATCATTTTCATTACATATTCTCGTGGTAATCAGTACATACAAATAGCGTATTGAGCGTGGAAGACGCGTTAGAGATAAAGAATGCATCGCCAATATGGAGACCATCGCGGTGATAAGAAATCCGGCCGACAAGTGTCCGGAAGCAACACGGAAACGTACCAGACCATACTGGGCTCCGTGCGGACGCGGTCTTGGAAGGAATGGCTGGTGGGAGTGGTGGCAGAGCGATGCGGCAGCGACCATCCCTTAGTTGCATCCGACCTGGAACGGCTGACGAATCAGAAACGCGAGTGGTACCAGCAGCAACGAAAGTTCAGTGTAAGAACCAGATCCGCCATTCCCGTCAGGTTCTCGACGCTTTCTACAGTAGTCAATAATTACAGTCATTCATCCAGTCCGTTTACATCCGCAAAAGGAGTTTTGATAGAAGTTTTTTTTTTTTTTTGAGAGAGAGAGAGAGGGCCTGCAACCTGACGAGTCACTGTCCTGATTCGTTCAGGAGAGGGGATCGAATGGAGGCGAGGAGTCATTCATGGAGCATTTTCTCGTCGTTGGATTGCATCCGGGAACCGACTTGTCAGCCGTGGAGGAGGCCTCGCTGCGTGACTTCAAGAACAGGATCCAGGTGAAAGATTCCACGGAAGATCATCATGAAGGTTCTAATCATGGTAGTGGTAGTGGTAGTAGGTTTCCGAGTGCTCTGCTTCGCGCTGCTGGCAGTGGCAGCATTGACAGCTCACGCAGCAGCATCTGCAGCACGTGCAGCAGCGGCGGCTGCTCCAACAGCAGCGGTACTAACAGCAGTGACAGCAGTTGCGGAGCTGGAAACAGGCCTAGCATGAGTGAACCGCGAAGTGCGCCTGGAGCGTTTTATCCTGGGCCCAGCAGCACCAACTGCATGAGTTTTATCTCAGCTGGGGGAGGAGACTCGCAAGGGGAAACCGGAAGTGGATCTAACCATGGCCAGAGACACGTGGCAGACACTATTCTAGCTGGTGGGAATAAAGGCATGGAGGAGAAAGGTGATTATAGAGGAAGCATCGCGAGCAGCCTTGGCAGGGTGGCGAGCAGTGCGACGAGGCTGACAAGTCGGTTCAGCAACCTGTTTCGGGACAGTGTAGCGGCGGGGAACACTCCTAGAGACAGCTTCAGTGGCATGATGGGATGGAGAGCTGGCGGGGATGCTGGCAGCAACGCCACTGCAGGCGGCAGGAACAGCAGCGTGAGCTGGGTCATCAAGGCCCGGGACTCCGCCGCTTCTGCTGCTGCCACTGCTGCGTCAGCTGCAGCTGCAGCGGCTGCGTCTCTGGCGGCTGCTTCAGCTGCGAGCATGGCAGGGCAGCGGGTGGCGAGGCTGGAGAGTAAGGAACTGGAGGGCTGTGGTAGTGATGAGGACGAGGAGACGGAGCAGGATGAGAGCTCCAAGGTCCAATTGGAACCACAGGTCAGATTTCAGCTCCCAGTGTGATACTCTAAGCGAAATCCACCTGGTTTTCCCATGCTATTCCTGTTTTCTGAGTTACATTAACTGTTTAGATGCGTCACCTCAAGTTCCATGTTTCCTTTGTGCTGACTCATTCCATGCATGGCTCCTCTGCAGCTGCTCTTCAAGTTCCCCCCTGGCAAAAAGCTCGCTCTCTCTCCATCGGATCTGCCAGGATTCTGCTTTCCCAATGGTATCAAGGTGAGTAGCTCCAATATGAGTGTACTCATGGTGCGTTAATGCCCGAGAACAAGCACAGTCTGTCCAGTGACTCCTGGGGCTGGCTTGAACACACACAACCTTCTTGCTTTGAGTGCTGTGGGTCCACAAAAAAGAAACACTCACCATGGAGCACCTTGACCGTGTGTGTTCTTGAACCTGTCTGTCCAGGCCACTGTGCTGCGCCGAAGCCCTTCCATGAGCGACCTACACCGAGTCATTTTTGGACAGGTAAGCCCTGAGCATTGCGTCTGGATGGGGGGAGGGAATGTGGTGGCATGAGGAGGGGGATAGGGAATGCTGTCAGCGCCACGCCACATAAGGACACGCCTGCTTCCGTCTTATCCCGTTTGTGCCACTCCCGCATTCGGCCGTAGGATGTTGGAATGAACTGGTAGTCATTCGATGAGCTTGTACCCAGAGCATTCACGCACCTTTTCTACACCGTTCTTTCCCTGCCTTTGCATGCCCGTCTGCCTGTTTGCTTGCCTGCCTGTTCGCCTGCATACCCTCAACCCCCCTGCAGGCATACCAGCGCTCTGACAACTCTGCATTTGTCTTTCTTCTCAAGGTGGCCAACAACGAAACACTGTACGGGGTGTGCATGGTGGTGGAGGAGATAGTGCAGCGCCCACCAGGCGTGCTTGCAGTGGCAGGCGACGGGGCCGTGTGGAGAGATGCTGATGACGCCGACGCAGCCACGCACACGCAGGGAAGCCGAGAAATGGCGCCAGAGGAGGCGGCCGATGGTGGCGTTGGGGAATATGGGGTCGGTGCGGGGGGTGGGTTGCGGTGTGTGGTGACGGCGCCGCGGTGCTACTGCATCTTGAGCCGTGTGCCCTGCATTGAGCTGCACTTTGAAGTGCTCCGCAGGTGCGCCCGCCTGCCTTGTCGTGTGCCAACACTGCGTCATGTGTGCTGCTGTGCCCCTTTGAGTTGATGATGCCCTGCCTTGAGTATCCCGTTCGCCTCCCAAACGCCTGTTGCCGGTGCAGCACATTGGTATTCTGCAGCTGCAGCACCTGTCAGTTGTTTTGAAAAGTACCCCTGACCATTGCTCTTCCTTCAACCCCATACATCCATTCCCATGACGCCAAATCTCAACCTCCTGCCCCATGCCCTTTGCCCTCTGCTCCCTTGCACCCAACGCCATCTCTTGTCGCCCTGCATCCGTCCTCTCTCCCCATCCCAGTGTCCTAGTGCAGGAGCGTCTGGACCGAATCAAGCAGCACAGCGGCGCCATAGCTGTCCCCAGAGGCCTCTCCATGCCCATGCCCATGCCCACGCACAATCTCATGTCTCGGACTGCCAGCATCGGCGCTTCTCTTCATCTTCCCTCCATGAGCAGTCGCACTGATGCTATGGCTGCTGCTGCTCGTAGGCTTGGCAATGCCTCGGGTGGTGCTGTTGGTGGCTGCTGCGGTGGTGCGATTGCCAGTGGGGGTGTTGGTGGCGCTGCTGCTGGTGGGGGTTCCAAGAGCAGAGGTGGGTTGGTCAGGGTGAAGAGTAGGTTCTGTGAGGAGGACGTGGGCGCATGCAGGGCGCAGGGAGGGCAGGAAGGAGAGGCACAACAAGCGGGAGTAGCAGGACGTGAATTTGAGGGGAGGGGAGACTTGGAAGAGGCGAGGGGGGTTTGCAGACCGGAAGCCAGAAGGCAGGGGGTTGCGGCACATGAACATTATCCAGTGCAAGGGGCAGAGCATGGGAGCTTTTGCAGTGAATACGATGGGGAAGGAGTGGGAGTGCCGGGGCGGGATGAGGGTTGGGGGGAGCATGAGGGGAGGGAGGGAGAAGGCGAAGGGGCTGAAAAGACTGAAGGGGATGAGGGTGGAGAGAGGGGAGCGTGGCAGTCGACCGTCATCCCTCTCGCGTATCTGCAGCAGCTGCACTTGAACGCAGCAGCAACCTCTGATCGTGCTCTTGCTTGTACCATCAGCAGCAGCAGCAGCAACGCCGTAGAGGGGGGAGAAAGAAGGCCTGAATTTGAAGCGGCAGCAGGCTGTGGCAGTGGCGTATTGAATGTCACGTTCGCAGCAGGCAAGGGGGAATCCGGGCGGAAGGGGGAGCGGGGCGCAGGACCCCCCGGAATGATCCGCGCGCGGAGCGTCCGGCTGCCAGGCAGCGGAACCGGCGGTTTGCGCAACGCCTTCCCTGGTGCCCCAGCTGTAGCGGAACCCGACAGCTCTACTGATAGCGAGACGGGCTTTAACGAGGACAGCTCTGAAGCGAGTGACGACGTGAGCGGCAAGGCGGGGAGCAGGCGGAGGGGAGGGGAGGAAGCGGGTGCTCGGTTGGATGTGGGGGGCGGACGGCAGATGCAAGACGCGGACTCGGAGCTCGAAGCGCCTCCTGCGCGCGCCGCAGGCGAGGGAGCGGGGGAGGGGGAGGCAGAGGGAGAGGGAACGGAGGAGGGGGAGGAGGGGGGGGAGGTTGAGGAGTGGGGGGGGGAGGGGGGAGGATGGGGAGGGCAATATGGGCAGAGAGTCAGCGTACGACGAGGAGGAGAGGCTGTTGCGCGAGGTGGCGGAGATTCTGGACCTGTGGGAGCAACGCGGAGAACGGGGGAGCGCAGGCGGAAGCGGAGCGGAAGTGGCGGGCGGAGAGGAGACATGCGCGCAGGTTTGGGCTCCGGACGGGGGGGAGAGTGCCGGGAATGGGGCGGAAGGGGAGGAGTCAGGCGCGGGGATTTGGGGCTCAGGCGGGGAAGCGCATGCGGGAAAAGGGGCAGATGGGGAGGCTCTTGCGCGGAAGGAAACAGAGGCGGAGGGGGAAGCAATCGGGCCTTTAGAAGGAAGACGACGGGGGACTGGAGAAGGGAATGGGGGGGAGGAGTGCAGCAGCAGCGAGCGCGGGAGTGGCAGGAGCAGCGGCAGCAGTATCAGCAGCAATTTGAGACCTATGGATTGGTCGCGGCGAATGCAGAGGAGCACGTCGCTTGCGGGCAAGGTGAAGAAAGCGTGGATGAGCGTGGGCGATGGACGAGGGTTCGAGGCGCGCACGCCCAGCGGAAATCTCCCCGCGGCTAACGAGTTGAGCTGTAACGCGGACGGCAGCGCGAGTGGCCGGGCACATGGGCAAGGAAGCGCGGAGCATTGGGCGAGGTGGCGAGAGTGGGAGGAGTGGGGGTGCGAGTCCCCGGCGAGGAGAGCACGGGGAGAGAGCGCGAGGCAGGGAGGCAAGGCAACGAGCGGCAGCGTCTTCGCGGGGCTGCCGGGACTGTTCCGCAACCTCACGACCACTGGCGCTAGGTGCGTGCACAGGTGCTAGGTGCGCTCATGGATGCTGGCATTTTGTCGTTGGTGAGATTAGCATTGCGGGAAGGGAAGGCTGCGGGGGCAACCAGGGAGGCTGCGGGATCCCCCAAGAGTGCTGCGATGCCGCCCTGTCGACCTAGGAGTGCGAGAACGCGAGTGCGCCGAGTTGATATTCTGAAGCACTGTGTGGAGGAAATTGTGGAACTGGTGTCACGAATTCTGACATTGTTCCTCCGACAACCCTGATCCCTTTTTTCAAACCTGCAAGAGTTGTGTCGGGAGAACCAGTTGTGACTCTCCCAGCCCAGCTCGTGAGCTGCACTCAAAATGCCACGGGTTCTCTTCCCTCTTCCCGTTTTCCCGTTTCAAGGTTTCTGAGATATCCGCGTACCGTCAGGCAACGTAGTATCAGCATTATGCAGCCCTAAGTCTCGTCTCCGCTGTTATTTGCACTGCAGAATCCCTCCCCTGTGTTGACTTGTCCTTGCCCAGACACCCAGAACAAACAAGAATAGTCTTGATTCATCTCGAAAGTTAAGCTATCCCCACTTTTAAAGTATAGTAGCAAACGAGGAGCAGCAAACGAAGAGCAGAAACAGGAAGGAGGAACTTGTGTGATTTTTCCATGATTCCATGCTCGTTCTTTTCTCTCTTAGGCCATTGTGTATTTCCATTCCAACCTGCTCCTCGCCTCGCCTCTCCTGCATTGCTTCTCTCACCCTTCGCCTTATTCTTCCTCTCCTCCCCATGCCCCCTCCATACCCCATCCCCCATTCCCCATCCCCCATCCTCCATATTCCGTCCCGGCAGCCGCAGCAGCAGTCGAAACAGCTACCAGTGGCTGGAAGAATGCGCTGCCCTGGCTGCTTGGGAGGTTGGCGGGGGTCGGGCAGGGAGGGCGGACGGGGGGAGCAGCGCAGGCAGGGCGGGCGGAGACGGCAGGGCAGGTGGGGGGGACAGTGGGGACGAGCGGACAGGGGGAGGGGATGCTGTAGGGTGGCGGGTGAGGGGTGAGAGAGTGGGAGTGGCGGTGGGAGTCGACGGCCTGGAGGAGGGAGGGATGGATGAAGAAGAGGCGAAGGGGGAGGTTGTCGGGGGCGAGTGTGGGGCAGGGCATGCAGGAGGGTGGTGTGTGTGTGAGGAGGGCAGTGCGGGCGTGGAGCATGCGGGATATGTAGAGGTGCGCCAAGTGAGTGGGGTTAAGGCCAGGCTGGACGAAGGCAAGAGGGAAGGGGTTGGGGAGGCGGAGATGGCGCGGGAAGTGGGGGAGGGGGAGCAGGGGGATGCGAGTGCAGGGGAGGACAGTGTGGAGCAGGAGGAGAGGCAGATGGTGTGGGAGATGGGGGGGCATGCACAAACAGGCGGGGACTATGGGGCGGCTGCTGTGGAAGAATGGGCTCAGGTGAGTGCGTGAGACTGGGGGTTTGGGGGGAGCTGTGCAGTGCAGGTGGTGGGAGGAGGATGGGGCAGGGTTCAGCAGGGCGTGGTTGCTCTGCTGCTTACCTCAAGTTCCTTGCTCTTCATTTACATATGTCTTTCTTGAGTTCTCTTTGGTTGTTTCGATTGCCTCATCTCTTCAAAGTGGTATTTCTTTTCCTATTACCCCGTGCTGTATCCCCGCACGCCAATCTTTGCACTGGTAACATTTCCAGAACCATCCTTCCACACTCCTCCACACACCCCCCTCCACTCTCCACAAACTCCTGAACTGCAGTGAGAAAGACTTACATTGTTCCCACCTTAATCCCTACCCATTGCCACCCTTATGTCCCACCCACCTCTTTGCACTCTCATCCCTTCCTCCTCTCATGCCCTCCAACCTCACCCCTCTCGTCCCCCTCCTTCCCCCCCCTCCCAGCAACACGGCAACGACTCGCTACGCATTGTGTGCGCGTACCACCGCATGCCACTGCCCCCTCCCGCGCAGCCCATTGTCTTCCATCCCCTCCCCCACCACCAACCCATTGTCTACTCCCGCCCCATCCTCCCTCTCCCCCGCTCCCTGCGGCCCCTCTCCCCTTCCTCCTCCTCCTCCTCCGCCTGCTGCTCGCCCTCTTCCCATCCCTCCTCGCCCTCCCCTTTCCTCAACACACACGTGTCTGCTGTTGTGGTGAGCGAGGGAGATTAGGGTAGCGCAAGGGGGGGGGGGGGGAACCATTGATTCAGCTCTTTCTGTTTGGATCTGCATGCATAATCCCTCACGAGTTTGCCTTGCCTTGCCATCACCAATGTGGATTTCAAGGTATATGGTCCATGCCAGGCCTAAGTCACGATGCTCTATTGTGATGTTCCACTGTTGGACGTACGAGGTTTTGGGGTGCAGGCCATAGGTGTGTTCCCTGGGGCAGGGAATGAAGGCTGTGGGGAGCTCAGATGTAGGCACCAGGAGGCGCTAGAGGAAGAAGGTTTCTAGCTTAGGGCACACGATTGTGGGTTGGTGTGTGGCAGCGATTCGAGGGCAATGAGGTGACTTTTGAGCCGACTCAAAAGGGCAATGGAAGTTTAAGTGGGGAGACGAAGGTGCAACAAAAAAGCTGTAGTAAAAGCTTGTGAATTACTCTGGAAAGTGCTTGGGGTTGCCGTTCTGTACCTGTCTGTACCTATCACCTGTCAGGCGGAGCACCAAGCCAACTCAGAGGAAGCCTTGGGCTTCTCTCCTTTCTCCGTCGTCTCTCTCTGCCGCTGCCTCTCCCTCGACAATGTAACCTTCTCAACCCTCACCATATCCCACCACCTCTCACCACCTCCCACCACCTCTCACCACCTCCCACCACCTCTCATCTCACCACCGCTCACCACACCAGGCATCATTGCATGCCACTTAATCTCCCCCAGTCAATCTTCCCTGCCCCATTAACACAAATGTGATCTCTATTTGGCCTTTCTGTCTCTCATCATCCTCTCAAACTCTCATACTCACTGACCCATTCTCCAGTTCCGTGTTCACCCTGAACGTACCGGCCTTGTCCTATCCGCCCCTAACCTCTCGTTTTCTAGGAGGCTAAGTCGCTTGCCACTGCCCCTCCTCTAGATTTTGAATGCACATACATCTTGGGTGTGTGTGTGTGTTTGTGTGTGTGTGTGCACTCATGTTCACGTGCATGTTCATGTGCATGTGCATGTGCATGTGCACCACCGCGGTTGCATGCGTGCGTGCGTGTGAGTGCGTGCACATGTGTGTGTGTCTTCCCAGGTTTTGCTCTTCCTCGCAGCAGTGCTGCTAGAGAAGCAGGTCGTGGTCATATGCCCCAACATGGTACGCGCTTCTCCTCACCCTTGCCATATCTCCCTCCCCTGTTACTTGCACTCGTCTTTACTGCGCCCTTCTCCCTTTCCTTTTTTTCATGTCATGTACTTCAAATTGAAATAAAAGTAACCAAAAAAAAAAAAAAAAACATTGAGGTGTGTCGTGAAGTAGCTCCCCTCCTTCTGCTCTTCCGACTGTTCTTCTCTTCCTCTTTCTCAAATTCCCTGTTTCTTCCTGACAGGTACTTCCACCTCCTCTCTCACCCTCATCCTCTCATGCCTGCTTGCCTGTCCCGGTGCCGCCTGTCTGCCTCTTCTTCCTCCTGGTGTATGTGATGATGCTGCTCTTGCCTTCTCCTTGTTTCTCAGGCTGCACTGCAACAAGTCTAAATCCTCCCTCGCAAGGGCTCCGTCAGTTTGTTGTTAGCTTCTCCTAGCTGCTTGCCTCCTTGGTTGGGAAACGAATTGCAGTATTACGAGAAACAAACAAGCAAAAAGCACGGAGCAGGTATCCTCCCCTGCCTAAGTCCCAGCCATCCTTCTGCCTAGGTTGCTTGTCCCACAAGCTAACTCTAGTTGCCAAGTCGCATAGCAGCAGTGCTGCTCGCGATAGCTTCTAGGTGCTAGCTGGGTCCCAGTGGCCCACTAGGCATGCACCGACTTCCAGCTGGAATTGCATTCTCTGAATCGAATTCCCAGCCTGGAACCGAATTCCCAGCCTGGAATCGAATTCCCAGCCTGGAATCGAATTCCCAGCCTGGAATCGAATTCCACCCTATCCCCACCAAATTCCTCGAGCTTCTCCACCCTGCTCGGCTCCATATATGTACAGTACATTCCAAGCACACAAACGAAAGTATGAGTACAAGAACCAAACAACAATATAGTACAACCTCACCTTAAGCTGCTGTGCAATTCACACTTAGCCGCAGGCTATGTGTTAATAGCGCGACAGCTGTCGTGAAGTAGCTCCCCCCCTTCTTCTCTTCCGACTGTTCTTCTCTTCCTCTTTCTCAAATTCCCTGTTTCTTCCTAACAGGTACTTCCACCTCCTCTCTCACCCTCATCCTCTCATGCCTACTTGCCTGTCCCGGTGCCGCCTGTCTGCCTCTTCTTCCTCCTGGTGTATGTGATGATGCTGCTCCTGCCTTCTCTTGTCTCTCAGGCTGCACTGCCCCCTCCCGAGCGTAAGTTCCAGCACAGGCAACTCTGGCTTCGGGACCCTCAGCCTGACCCTTCCCTTTTCCAGCCGCGGCCACATTGGTAACGTGCTCCTTGATGCGCCTTCCTCGCTCGTCCTCTAGCACCAGCACCCCGGACTGCCTCATCTCCTTCACCTTCCAGCGTTCTGGTCCGACTGGCAGGTCTAGCGTATCTCGTTTGGGCTGCCTCAGGTACACTTCCTCCCCAGTCTCTACTCCCTTACGTCTGCATCCCTCCTCTCCTGCCTTCCTCTATTGGTAACGTCTAGCGTCCCTCAGTTGCGCCACGTGGAGGTTGTCCAGCGCTGCCGGCGTCTGTTCCTTCAGGTAGGCCGCCCTCTTCCTAGCCAGCTCAGCCCACAGGTGTGGCTCGTCTGCATCTACCGTCGCACTTAGCAACTTCGGTGCATCCACGGGTAGGATGGGGTGCCTCCCGTACAGCAGATGGTAGGGCGACATGTCATTCAATGCCGCTTGCTTGGCAAAGCGATAACCTGCAAGGATGCAGTGTAGCTCCTGGTCCCATCCTCTCTTGTTCGTCTCCCCCGTAGGCCCGCAACCCTCTCTTCAGCGTATGAATCAGCCGCTCCGTTAACCCATCCGACTGCGGGTGATACCTTGATGTCACACGGTGAGTGATCTGCAGCTCCTGCAAAGTCTCTTCAAAGCAGCCCTTGAACTCGGTACCCTGGTCAGTTAACACCTCCCCGCACGCCCCAAACCTGGTGATCACTTGCTCCACGAACGCCTCTGCAATCAGCCCACTGTTCTTGCTCGGCATTGCCCTGGCCTCTACCCACTTACTAGTGTGCTCTACCATCACGAGTATGTATTGCTTATCTTTCTTGGACAGAGGTAATTCCCCAGCCAAATCTAGCGACCAGCGGTAGCCCAGTCCCCGAATCGGCAGTGACTGCAGCTCCTCCCTTGCCTTCTCCAGTGCTGCTTTGTTACGACTGCAGGCTGCACACTCATCTACCAGCTCTTTGACGTCCCTCCTTATCCCTGCCCACCAGTACATCGTGCTCAGCAGTTGATTGGTGCGTGCCGTTCCGTAATGCCCCAGCTTCCCATGCACCCGTCGCATGATCCTTTCCCTGTCCTTCTTTTGTGGCACTATCTTCCATCCCTCACTGGTGCGAAGCTGCAGCTGCTCTTGGTACCAACGGTAGTGCTGCCCCCTGGCCCTTGCCCTTTCACTGGCCTCCTCGCCCTCCGTGCTCCCTCCCTTAATCCACTCCAGAGTCTCGGTATCCTCCAAGACATCTAGCTGCCTCTTCTCCACTTTCTCTTGCCCCCAGCCAGCTGTCGGCACCTGTGCTATGGCTACCAGCTGCGCCACGGGCTGCACAGGTGGAGGGTTCCTAGACAGAACGTCAGCATGCTGGAGGGTCTTGCCCGGGCGGTGGCGAATTTCAAAGTCTTATCCCAGCCGCTTGATCGCCCAGCGGGCATTCCGTCCCGTCAGTTCCTGGTTTGTCATCAGCCACATCAAGGGCTCATGGTCGGTTACCAGCACGAACCTACGCCCCTGCAGGTAGACCCTGAAATGGTTGATGCCCCATACAGCTGCCAACCCCTCGCCTTCATACGAGCAGTAATTTGCCTCGGTGGGGCTGCAGCTGCGGCTGGCAAATGCTACCACTCGCTCCTCTCGCTCAATCTCCTGGCACAGAACTGCCCCCATCCCCATGCAGCTCCAGTCAGTGTAAAGCGTGAAGGGAGCATCTGCCCTGGGTATCTGTAGCAGTGTGCCTGTCCGTACTGCCTCTAATAGATCCTGTCTAGCCGCCTCTTCCTCCTGTCCCCACTCCCATCGCTTTCCTTCCCTGAGCAGTTGATTCAGGAGGTTCGCTTGCCGGCTGAAGTTCGGCACGAACTTCCTGTAGTAGTTTAGGAAGCCGAGCAACGCTCTCAGCCCTGACTTGTCCTTCGGCGGCGCCAGCTTGTCCAGCACCTTAACCTTCGCCTCCTGAATACCTAGCCTGCCCCCTTTCACCTCAAATCCCAGATACGCCACCGTCCGCCTTGCTATCTTACACTTCTCTGGGTGGCAGGTGAGTCCTGCTGCTGCTATTGCTTCTAGTGTCCGTCTCAGGTCGTCCACATGCTGCCTGTCCGTTTTGCTGAAGACCAGCACATCATCAATGTAACACGCTGCTGCTGGTATGCCTCGCAGTACCTGATCCATTGCTCACTGGAACACGGCAGATGCGTTCCGCATGCCGAATGGCATCTTGTTTTACTCATACAATCCGTCCACCCCGTGAAAAGCGGTTTTGCGCTTGTCCTCCTCCCTTATGGCAATTTGGTTAAACCCCTGCCTAAGGTCTAGCGTGGTGAAAATGACTGCCCCTTCCAGCAGGTTAAATATATCCTCTGCTGTCGGGCTCCGTGATTTTATTCAAATCACGGTAGTCCCCGCACATCCGTCGTGACAGAACCGCGCCGGTCAAATCTTTCTTGGCTGCGACCACCGTGGCAGCTGCATAACTAGACTCGGATGGGCGGATGATTCCTGCTGCCAGCAGCTCCTCACACTTCTCTTTGCAGATGGCCGCATCTTCAGCATTCATGCGCCTCCTGCGCTGGTAAGTCGGTATCTCCGTCGTGAGCTTTATTTCTGATTCCCCGCCCTTGTACTGCCCCAGCTCCTGCAAGTTGTATGCAAATGTGCCCCTATGCGCTTTCAGCAGCTGCCTGATCGCCTCTGCAGCCCTGCCTCCACATCTGCCCCTATCTCCCATTCCTTCTCTGGCCCCTTGCTGACATTCAGCTTCTCTTGCCTCGGCTCCGCCCTTACTTCCTTTTCCTTCCTCTGAGTACGCTGGCTGCTTCCGCAGCCCCCTTTCCCCCCCTACCTTCTTACCTCCTACCGTGATTTGCCCCCTTCCTCATTTCGCAAATCAGCCATCTCAGTGAGTGCTGATCAATAGCTCTCCCCACCGCTGCCCTCTTTGCCTCCTCACTTACACCCGGTGCTGCGGTCGCTCCCGCTAGATAACCCATAGCCAATTCTCTCTCCAAAGCTGTCGGCTCCTCCCACCTCTTCCTGTTGTGGTCATATATCATCCCTGGGCCAGGCTGGCCATCTGCCTCAACGAACCCCCTTGCTCCTGGGTAGGCGACCAGTGTCAGCAAGGCTCGTCGTGCCTCTCCTATCCTGTTGCACTGGTGCTACAGGGGATGATCCGGCTTCCACACTGGAGCTGCCACTCGCCTAGGTTCCAGGATGTCCTCCACTATCCTCCGATCATCCCTCTCCACCCTGGACAGTCTTGCGCGCAGATCTTCCTCTGGTAGCATGTTCTGCCAGTAGCACCGTGTCCGGTGACATCGTGCTCCGTGCAGGGCCGCATCCCAACTCACTCCCTTCCCTAGCTGTGCCTCTACCATCTCCCTCACAGCTTGCACCGGTTCTCGTGGATCGCCCTTCATATCCACGTGCTCCAAGATGTACGCGTATTCTTCTCCTTCTTCCCTCATCCAGGCCATGACCTCCAGGAGCTTCTTGATTAACCCCGTGCGCTCATCCTGCAGCCCTCTTCCCTTGCCTGCCCGAGAAGTGCCCTGGCACTCCCATCCGGCCACCAGTAAGTCCACCTTTCCCCAGCTCCTCACTTCCTGCCTGCTGATCTCCCTTACATCCCAATGCTCTCTCTTCATTGCCTCTACTATGACTTGCTTTCGCAGCTGCGCTAGATACCGCTCCTGCAGGGCCCTGGCATGACTCCACGCCATCTTACGCACCTCCGGGTCTAACTCTATGTAATGCCACTTCTTAATCTCCAGGCCGGCCTCTAAGGCTGCTGCAAGCCCCGCTCCTATGCCTCCGAATAGCTCCACTAGCATTACACTGTACTCACTCAGCTTTGCCCCCATTCCTGCCAGTGCGCTTTCTCCATCCCAATTCTTCCTCTCTCCCCTGACCGCCCCTGCTCTCCAGGCCCTCTTGGGTTCTGTCTTAACAAACCTGACCGGCAGTTCGCCCAGCTCACCTCCTTCCCTCTAACGTTCAGTACGGTACTGCACCCGCTCCTCCCAAGTACATATTGTCGCCCCCACCCTAAACAGCAGCTCCATGCCTAGCAGGATGTCGTAGTCATCTGATTCTGTCATCCCGCACTGCACTCGTATCTTGGTCTCACCCCTTTCCCCAGGCTGCAGCGTAATCTCTATTGGCTCCTTTGTGCACGGCATCCATTTGGGTGCTCCTCCTTCCGCCGTCATGATGAGTAATCCCCGTTCCACTAGCTCCAAGTCCCCTTGAGCCTTCAATTGCTCCCCCAGCTTCCTCCCAATCAGCACACTCTGCGCCCCAGTGTCCACCACCGCGTTATCCACCCGTATGGCTCTTACAGCCATCGCTCCGGGTTCAGCTACCAACGCCGTAGGCTGACACACCATTCTCTCGTCAGGCCATCGCCGTGCTGTCCGCTTCTCATCTCCACTCTGTTGTATCTTGGGGCCTCTCCTCTCGTAGGACTTTTCATTGGCTCTGCCGTCTACCCCTATGCTCCTCAGCCCCAACTCTTCCCGCGATCTAGGTTGTAATGCCATCGTACCATACTCCGGTTCCTCCTCATCTGATTCTCATTCGTCTTCCTCCCAGGCTAGCAGCGCTTTCTCAGGATCCTCACTGACTTGAGTCTTCTCCATCTGTGCCTTTAATTTCGCCAGCTCCCTTTCCAGCTGTAGCTCTCTTGCGGACTTCCCTTTCTCCTTCTCTCCTCGGCTGTAACACCTTTCTTTCGTGTGTCCCTTCTTGCCGCAGTTGGTGCAGGTGGGAGCCTTGGGGCAGTCTCGCCTGAAGAGCCCCTCCACGCCACAGGTGTCGCATAAAATGCCCACTGTGCAGTCCTTCCGTATATGCCCCTTTTCCCCACACTTATGGCACCGCCTTGGGTCTTCCCAGGGCTTCTCTCTTCGTTCTTCCTCCCCCCTCCTTCCTTCAGCTGCTGCCCAGGCTGGTCTCCTTCGCTCGTTTGATCGGCTGGAGCTTGCTCCTCTCAAGCCTTCAAAGAACCTCCGCCCTTCCTCCACTTCTTTCGCCACTTGATACACCTGCCTGAGTCTCGCCTTCATCCCCAAAGCGTACATACGTGTTTTCATTTCATTCATCAGCTCCTCCTCCAACCCCCCTAGGAATTTCGTCACCAAGGTACGCTCCTCAACGCAGCCCATATCCTCAGCCAGCTCCAGCAGCCGGTTGTAGTATGCCAGCAGCGACTCTGCCTGTCCTCTTTTAAAGTCTTGGAACTCTATCATACGCTCAGCTGAGTGCCCGGGGAACTGCTCACGCAGCGTGTCCAAAAATCGGTCAGTGATCTCTCCCTGCGCAAAGTCCCCATTCTTGCACTGCATCAGCAGCCCCTGACGCTCCACTCTGTAGTGTGTCAGTGCCTCCCCTTTCATTGTCCTTCCCAATCCTCTGAAAAATTCTATCGGATGTAACCCCTCTCTCTCCCAGGTGTACCGTATATCATCAATCATCATAAGGTAGTTCTTCAGTGTTGGCTCTTCATGTGGTGCCCCTGAGAAGCGGTCTGGTATCTCGATCTTCGGGGGCGCCGTGTTCATAGACCTCCCTGTCCCCCAGCTTGCGGCTTCCCTCTCTCTGCTTCCTGCAGGCCAACCCCCTTGCTCGGGCCCCCTGGTGGTACTGCGCCCTCCGAATAGACCACGGAAATTCTCCTCTCTGAAGTTCTGCTCTGCTTCCCGGAAATTCTCCTTTCTGCGTCTCACCACGCTCAGGCGTTCCTTGCTGCGATCCTTGCTGCCCAGATCTCGCCTCGCTCTGTCGTCCTGGCGAGTTGTGCACCGAGCTGGGCAATTCCTCCTGACGATTCCCACCCTCCTTCGGCAGATCAGGGCCCTTTCCTCCCTGCGTTTCATTAACTCCTCCATCTGCACGGAATCCAGGCTTCATAGGCGGCTCTTCCCGACCTTCCATAGTCCTAGCGGGATACCTCTGTCCCGACCGCAACTGATGGATGTGTAGATCTGGATCCGTATCGCTCATGCCTCACGGCCCTGACGCCGTGGCTAACACCGGGCCTCTGCGCCCGTACGCTTCTCTACCGCTACCTTTTTGCTTGTTTGCAACAAGTCTAAATCCTCCCTCGCAAGGGCTCCGTCAGTTTGCTGTTAGCTTCTCCTAGCTGCTTGCCTTCTTGGTTGGGAAACGAATTGCAGTATTACGAGAAACAAACAAGCAAAAAGCACGGAGCAGGTATCCTCCCCTGCCTAAGTCCCAGCCATCCTTCTACCTAGGTTGCTTGTCCCACAAGCTAACTCTAGTTGCCAAGTCGCATAGCAGCAGTGCTGCTCGCGATAGCTTCTAGGTGCTAGCTGGGTCCGAGTGGCCCACTAGGCATGCACCGACTTCCAGCTGGAATTGCATTCTCTGAATCGAATTCCCAGCCTAAAACCGAATTCCCAGCCTGGAATCGAATTCCCAGCCTGGAATCGAATTCCCAGCCTGGAATCGAATTCCACCCTGTCCCCACCAAATTCCTCGAGCTTCTCCACCCTGCTCGGCTCCATATATGTACAATACATTCCAAGCACACAAACGAAAGTATGAGTACAAGAACCAAACAGCAATATAGTACAACCTCACCTTAAGCTGCTGTGCAATTCACGCGTAGCCGCAGGCTATGTGTTAATAGCGCGACAGGTGACAACTCGCCTTGTATCTGCAGGCCACCAAGAGCGTACACACAGTGGGCAAGGCATGTCACACTACATAATCATCACACCCGTTGGTTGTTCATCCTCACCCATCAAAATCCACATTAGTTAATCCACTCTCACACCAGCAAATCCCCCGCCCACTCCACAACCGGTCTATCAATACCACTTATAACTGCCTTCCCTCCCCTCCCCACCCACTTACCCATTCTCTCCCCCCTCATCTGACACCTCCACCACACCCCTCCTCCTTGCCTCCCCATGCGCGTCCACAGAGCCTGCTCTCCTCTGCGGTGCTGGCTATCGTGCCTCTCATCCGCCCCTTCATCTGGCAGTCCGCCCTTCTCCCAGTGAGCTTCCACCCACCCTTCCTCCTCCCCTCCCTCTCTCCCTCGTTTCCTCCCACCTTGCCTTGTTTCCTCCCTCTCTCCCTCGTTTCCTCCCACCTTGCCTTGTTTCCTCCCTCCCTCCCTCCTCCGTCACGCCCTCCTTTTCCTCACTGCCAACTCTGTCGTCCCTCCATGCTCCCCTATCTTTCACTCATTCGCTGCACGTGTGCTACTAACCAGCAGCCGTAATCCAGCTGTCCATAATCCAGCACGTATGCTACTATCTGTCCCTGCACTTTTTCCTCACTCATGCGCGTCTGCTCAAGAAGTCTCATCACTTTCTCAGTATCCTGCACTCCTTCACTCCATTCGCCTGGAATTCCAGAAGCAAGAGGGAACAGAAACAGCTACATCAACCTCGTTCTGCATGCTGGCACGGCACTTGCTGTGTGCCTCCACTTCTTCCACTCACCACTCTTCTCTCCTCTCCTCTACTCTCGTCTCCTCTCCTCTCCTCTCCTCTCCTCTCCTCTCCTCTCCTCTCCTCTCTTCTCCACTCCTCTCCTCTCCTCTCCTCCCCTCTCCTCTCCTCTCCTCTTCTCTCCTCCCCTCTCCTCTCCTCTCCTCTCCTCTCCTCTCCTCTCCTCCCCTCTCCTCTCTTCCCCTCCCCTCTCCTCCCCTCCCCTCCCCTCTCCTCGCCTCTCCTCGCCTCACCTCGCCGCACTGCAGGTCCTTCCTTCCCAGCTGCTGCCATTCCTCGACGCCCCGGTCCCCTTCGTGGTACTCTCCACACGTTCTCAAACTCTCTCCACATACTTCAAACAGCTCGCGTCCCGCTGCATTTGTGCATCCTCGCATTCTCTTGTACCAACAAACTACTCTCGCCAAAACATACAAATCTCACTTTTACCTATTCCCACTTGCTCTGCTCTACCCCACGCCCCGTCCCCACTCCCCCCCCCACCACACACCACGACCCATGAATCACACACCCCTGGCCTTTACCAGGTGGGCCTGCAGGCCCCCATGGTGTGCGTGAGAGAGAGGGCCTCCTCCCTTGTTATAGTCAACCTCGCTAAGAACAAGGTGAGCACTCCCATGGTATGTCTTACACCATCTCCTCGCCTGCACCCTCCTCGCGTGCCTGCGCTTACCCTCCCAAGCCCTCCTCCCTCCTCACACCATCTCCACAAACCTCTGTCCATCCCACTGCGTCACACGCATTCTTTCCCCTCCCCCTCTCTGCTATTCTCCTTGCCCCCAGGTGTGTCTCCCCTGTGACCTGCCGCTCCTGCCAGAGCAGCAGGACCTGGCAGCCTGCCTACTGCCCCACCACGCTGTCATGGCAGGGGATGCCGATGCTGCCACCCGACTCGTCTTCCGCACCACTCCAGAGCAGGTAGGCACCACTCTGGCACCCATAGGCACCATTCTGACACCGTTAGGCACCACTCTGGAACCAGCAGGCACTACTCTGGAACCAGAAGGCACCACACCAGAACTATTACACACCACTACAACACGTGCAACAACGCATTTTTCTGCTCTCCACACGCCCACCCTTACGCTGCAACCTCACTCCCCATCCTCTTACCCAATTCCACCTCCCAAAACCCCTCGATCCCTTGTGATTCTCCCACGGCCCCAGGCGCGGGCAGCAGAGCACTTTCAATCAAGTCTGCTGGCGTACTTCCACTCCTTCTGTGCGTCCATCCGCTCGTACACAGTCACGGCCATCGGAATCACGGGGGAGAGAGTGAGTAACCAATCATGTGACACGACATATAACCCACTGTTGTGTCGATTGACAGTCAATCAAAAGACACCCGTTCATCCACCCGGCCAACCAACCAACCAACTAATCAACCAACCAACCACGCACCTACCCACCAACCATGCAGTGTCCTCCTCCTGACTTGGGAGTGCTCCAGTGCCTTTGGCGCTTCTTGCTGCAAAGGAGCCTGCTGTCGCTTTCCCCGCTCCCATCGCAACTGCTTCTCTGCCTACATGTCGTGCCTCGCTTCCCCTGCACTCCCAGCCAACTCTCAACCCCCTGACTACCCCTGTATACCCTCTTTAACCCTGGAAACCCTCTGTACCTAAACAACTTTCCAACCCTCCTTTGCTCAACAGGTGCCTGTTCTGCTGAAAGATGCATTTGTCAACTCCTTCTCACCAAGAAGTCAGCCTTTTTTCAAGGTGTGGTCTTAGGCGCTGATGAAGGTCCCTATTGCTACTACACAGCTCATATGAAATGCCCTGGTTGCCGCACAAGAGTCCTTTCTACATGCATGCTACGGTCCTGGTTTTGAGTTTTAATACTTTCAACTGTTTCCTTGAAACAATTTTTCCTTCTCTCACTCTCTCTCTCCGACAAAAATCTCTTTCTTGATGCACTCACATGTACCTATGTTCTGGTATCTCTCGCCCAGCTTTTCTTCGAGACGCAGATGTTCTCAGTACACAGCGACAAGCTGCTTGCTGTTCCTGAAATGGGAGGCAAACCAGTTTTTCAGGAAGGAAATGGCCTGTGACTGTGAGTGCTCCGTAGTCAGTTACCGTATAAGATGGTTGACATAATGGGGATGCGTAGAAGCAGTTTGGTAACTTGAATGCTGTGCTTCATTACCTGTTCTGGTTCGTTATAAGGTTGGAGAAGTAAGTAGGTAACACAAAGCAGAAAGCATTGCAAGTATAACCAGTGAATGTTGACCAGTCATAGGTGAGAGTACGAAGTGTTTATTTTGGGGGGGGTGCTTGTTAAAGGCGGGGTGCAACTTATTAGGAACAGTTGCAGGACAAATATGGAGTGTGCGTAACGGGACCCTTATTGGACGAAAAAAATGGAATCTCGCACAAGACAAACCTCTCGCCACTGAACTGCCTGGGACTACTAAGTTTCAAGCTATAATACCCTGAAGTTGAAGCTGATAGTTGGGCCACGGCTTAAGTATAGCTTGTTTGTAGGTAAACGTCAATGTAAGTATAATACGTAAACGTAAGGATGGTTGCACAAAAAGCGTACTCTTATACAGCTTGTACAGCACGATAGTGGGCCCACTTTGACCAGACCAGAACCAGCCTCTAGAGGGAATTACTGTGTACACATGCACTCTGAACAGAGCCGCAGCTATTCAAGGATGCCAAACAGCCTACAACTTGCGGTGCGGATCCATAGAAGGGTTTCAGGTTGGAGGAAAATGTTCGCTCGTATTTCGGCCCTAGTCTTCCAACAATCCCACAACTTGGCTGGTGGTGTGCACAGACCTACAACCCCAGTTGACCGTTGGCAATTCGGGTCAGGAACTGAATGCAGCCCTGATCACAGATTGCTCCTACAACATCAAATGCTGTGGTGAACAGACGGAGTGCCGAAATGCGAATTTAGTAGAAGGGGTTTAGGTAAGTTAGATTGCCTCCCAACGATGGGTACGGGGAGGCGCGGAAAGTAGACTACTCTGGCACGCAGTGGCAAATCAGTGAACCTTGTGTGAGCCTGGTACGTGTACAGCAGCCCTTACCCCTGGTAGAGTAGGGGCAACTATCCCTGGTTTGCAACAAGGTTACAGTACACCGAATGCCGGAACAGAAAGAGAACCGTAACGGAAAATTCGGCCTATCGGCTGTGGCTGCGGTTTGCAACAAGGTTACAGTACGAACGATCCCTTCTGTACATTCCCTCAAAATATACTACGTGTAGACACTCAACGACCAGAAATGTTTCGATCGAGTCATGAGGACCTTCGTCTGCTGGTCTCATTGGCTGACATCCAAATTGTCTGGATTGCAGCTCCACTCGTGTGAGGACATACGCACTGCACCTTGAGCTTGAACGTTGTGCAGTGATACACGTGTTTTACCTTTAGGTATGGTAAAACAAAACTTCCAGTATCTCTCAAATTGGACATTTTTTCTCGAGGAAGACAAGGATTTTGTGGTGTTTGACTGTCCATGTCAGGTCCTGTTAGATTTTTCAGTGTATGTTTTAATGAGTATGTCTGTTCAACTTCGCCGCTATCTCTTGTGCCCAACGCATCTGTTCCTTTCCGTTTGTGATATGCGGGGGACATCTAACAGAGACAGAACCTTTGAAGAAAGTGTACTTGGGAAGGCATGGAAGCTGATCAGATCGGAATTGTTTAGGACGTGGGCCCAATCGACTTTGATCGTCTCGATCCAATGCGATCGATAACTTCTAGGAAGGCAGGAAGCCGGTTTCAGGCAATCAGGGGCAATCAGCTGATCGCAATCAGCTGATCGCTCCAACTCGATCAACCGCCTCAAACAATCCGATCAATAACTTCTAGGAAGGCAGGAAGTCGGTTTCAGGCAATCAGGGGCAATCAGCTGATCGCTCCAACTCGATCAACCGCCTCAAACAATCCGATCAATCACGATCAGACACAATCAGTCCCGATCACTTAATTGCATGTGATCGGGGGCCTGGACGACGTTCGCGAAAAGTTTAAGAAGTTATTGCCGTGGTTCTTATTCGAAACTGTGGTTCTTGCCGTGGGGTGGTCGTATGAACTTGGTTTTTCCCGTCCTCTAGAATCCACGGACGACACCTCTGAACTGCATTCCGAGAAACGAAGAGTCGAGCATTGAGCACAGAAGATTGCAATCATTACGCAACCACACGACTCATCATTAGCAACGTGGAGTGGCGCATCCAGAAGGAACGAGAAGCGAAGCCAATTACCACCTCGCCGCCCTAAGAAGTCTTGAGTGGTTAATAATGATTCAAAGGACCTCTCGTTAAATAAGGACGTAGGAGATGAGGTTTGGCAATTTCAAGGGTATAGTAACAAGAAGATAAGCACTTGGTGTGTCCCAGACAACTTTCAGGAACAAAGAGAACATGGATTCTACCAGCTCTGGGGCGACGAGGAAACAATTGAACAGAACAGTTGTCCTGCCCTAAACTCTGTTGGCGGAACCCCTTTCAGGTCGCTTTTTTCAAGCGCGACGCGAAACTTTTGGTAACCAGCTTGTAGAAGCGAACTGGTTCCCGAATCTTCGCGTGTTTCCCGGGCTCCAACCAACCAACCACAAGCCAAAGCCTTCCACCCCAGCAGCACGCGATCCAGATGGTAGTGGTTTTGGGAGGCGACGTCTTCTGAGGTCTCCCTGCCATGGAAGCAGGCCTGTCGCTTGCAGGGCGTTTGCCCTGCTGGACCTTGAATTCCAGGGCTGGGTTGCCCTTGAAAACTGAAATTGATGGGTTGAGAAAATTGTGGCCCTGATTCATTACAGGACTGATTTCGGGCTTAGGTCTGGAGTGTGAAGGGTAAATTTTAGGCGAGCCCTGGAACAAAGTCTTTCGAACTTCCCCTCCCACTCCTCCCCCCCCCTCCCCCCCCCAAACTCCTCCATTCCCCCTCCCCCCGTTTCTATTTTGATTGCATTCAAGCCTGTCAAATTTGGAGTTGCGTGGCTGGACCACAGATTCAACTCAACCAACAACTGGTACTTGTACCAATTACAACCTCGCTCCCATCCCATGACACACAGACAGTAGCATGAACCAACATGCAGCAGCAAAACACATCTCAGATCCCCGTCATGTTGTGCACCCTCAGGCCTGAATGGGCATAGCAAGCAGCAAAACACATCTCAGATCTTTGCTAAGAGTTGGAAGAGGAGGAAGTCTGTTACGCGTGCGTAGTGAATGACGCTAACTAGTTTTTTTAATTGCTAACTAGCTAATTTGATACTAGCGGAGTGCAGCTGTCAGCTTTGTGGTAGAACTGAGGCTGCAGAATTTTCCGCGGCAAACCTGATTTACAGGGAGGAATAAATTTCAGCCCTGAAGCCTAAAGGGCCGAGATTCGCCCCGACCCTGCTAAATACAGGGTCGTACATGCCGGGCCCCCTGATTTGTCCGGGGGGGCCAAAACGAAACGACAGCCCTGCATGGAAGGCTTGACATCTAGTGGTTCCCTCAAAACTAGAGCTTGCGCACTTTTCGATTTTTAAGTAAATGACAGACGACTATCCAGTTTCAATACCTTTAACTGTGGTTAGTATTAAGCTCCTTGCGGCGCCCTCTCATCTCCATAGTGTGAAGTCCTCCAGTTCTGAGATAACCCTTCAGAAAGTGCGTCAGGAATATTACGGGTGCCGCCCGTGAATTCACTGGAAAGGTGATGTTAAGGCTACAGAAACGCCAACCCATCTCGCCCCATGGAAAAGAAGCAGGTTCTTCCAAGGCGCCGCGTGCGTCCTTCTTGCAGATGTCATCACATCGCGGCAGAAGAAATTGCCCTTCCATCTTTCACAGTCCAACCAATGTCATGGAGTGTTGCGGTTGGGTTCTGCTCTGTGCGAGAATTTCCTGTCTGCCATCACGACCAGCAACGAAACACGCCAAGCAGAGAAATTCATGTTGACAGAGCAACCTCGTATATCAGCCCTCGCATTCTAGCTTTCGAGGTACCAGACATGAGACTCAATCTCAAGCGAGTAATAGAAACCTTCATTTTCTTATGTATTTCTTCAGCAAAGTCGATAGGTTTATTCCGACACCTGACAGAAGACTCCCAGACCAGGCTGTTTCTCTGTAGCTGGCTCGCGTTCCGCTCCATGCGATCGAAAATTGTCACGCTTTCACCGCTCATAGGATTCCTTTAACCTTATTTTCCGTCACGCACATCATCAACCCATCGACGGCGAGGTCGCGCAGTGACTCTCCGTGGTTAAAAGCAGTCGCAGTCTCTCAGTGACCGTCGGACGCGTCATGGATTACAGCGCGAGAGTCCGGCCTCGAACGAGCGTCTATCATTCCCTCCGCGAAGCTGGAGGAGGCGTCGCGACGGGCGCAGTAGAGTCGCTTCCTGTACGTGACCCCCCTGATTCTCGTCCCTGTCTTTACTACCAAGAACTGCTGCGGATGTTGGAGATGAACCTACTTAGCTCGCACTGGTCTCATCATCCCGGAAAACATAGATACTTCGCCCCATCATCCGAAGAGTCCCTTTCGGAAACTCTCGTCCCTCGTAGCTCCTCAGATCCTTTTCTGACAACGCGGCTCGTTCAAACTGTTGTTTCCTTTCAACACGGCTCGTTCAATCAGAGAGCTTTCAACGCACGAATCCCCGCGTTCGAATTGCTGTTTCCTTTATACTATGGCGTTTTAACCGCTACCCCCTCCCCCTCCCCGTGTTCCGGCAACAGGATGAGCTCCTTCTCCTCATTCTCTCCAAAGCAGCCTCCGCCGCGGCATCGCCTGTGGATTTGGCAAATTTCGCACTCACGTGAGTACAAGAGAGGTGATTTCTCGTACCATCATAACTGGTAGTAACAACAGTTGTTACAAATCAGTCCCGGATGTCCCAGCCGGTGTACGCAGCGTTAGAGTAGCTTCCGTGCGTCACCGTGGCTCGAGTTTAACGTATTATTCGATACGGCCTTCCCTGCGTATAACCTTCTAATCTCATTCGTTTCTTTCCCAACGGCTCTTCGCCCCTCTTGCCCATTCATTCCTATCGCAGGTCTCCCCGCTTCGCGCGTCTCGTCCGCGAACCCCCGGTGCGCTCCCGCCTACCCCTGCGCGCCCTCGTTCCTTCCGCGCGCCTCTGGGCGCGCCCGCCCGCCATTAGCGCCGGGGACACAAACTCGGCGAACACCGCGCGCGATTCCTCTGGCGCCTACGGCGGAGAAAGAAATACCACAGTCACGGATTCGAGCGGCGGCGGCGGCGGGAGCGATAAGTGTCGCATGGCGTGCCGGTTCTTGCTGCAGTGCGGGTTGGCGGGGTGCACGGATGCTCTCTACGTGCTCGGAATGGTGAGCTCTTATTCGATCTTATTTAATCTCATGACAACGACGCATGACGTAGCATAAGGCCGCATGGCGTGTGATCTTATTCGATCTCATCACCATCGTTGGCGTTGATCACCTTCGGTGAATCTGATCTCAAGCCACCTTTGCTCACTCTCCTGTCTCCATTCGTCCCCCCTGGCCCTCCCATTTTATCCCCTTCACCCCTTTCATCATCCACCAATCAGATCAAGTTCTACTGCCACAGGGACTTCTGGGCGGGTGCAAGCCTGCTGGTGTGGGCGGCGGAGAAGGGACACGTGGCGGCCATCTGTTCGCTGGCGATCATCCATTCTCACGGCAGTGGCGGCGGCAGCAGCGACGGCAACCCCGCTGCAGCTACTGATATTCTGTGGCACGCTGCTAGGGCGGGCAGCAAACAGGCGCTACAGGAGCTGGGCCACTGCTATTTGGTACGGGATTCTCCCTTCTTGCTGGCCCGCCCTTCCCACTCTCGATCGGTCCTCCTTGCCCCCCGTTCCTCCCCCTCCTTAACCTCTCTCTCTTACTTTCTATCTCTCTCTCTCTCTCTCTCTCTCTCTCTCTCTCTCTCTCTCTCTCTCTCTCTCTCTCTCTCACACACACACACACACACACACACACACACACACACACACACACACACACACACAAACACACACACAATCACGCACACTTATCTCACCTTCCCCTCTTCCCCCCGCCGTCACCACTGCAGGACGGCCATGGAGTGCCGCAGCGCACGCTGCTGGGCGCACGACTGCTGCTCGCCGCCATGTGCCCCGCCCTCGCTCACTCCCCGCACTCCGCCCCCGCTGTGCAATCCGCCGCGGTGGGGCTGCAGCTGCAGAGGATTCGGGCAGAGGCGAGAGAAGCATCCTGGCAGTCGCACAGGGGGCAGGAAATGGCCGTGCAGTCTCACCAGCACCAGCAGCAGCAGCAGCAGCAGCCGGCAGAATCGCCAGTAGCACCATCCGCTGCAGTAGTTACCACTGGGGTGGTGCAAGAGCCGCCACAGGCACGCAGGTGGCTGCTGGAGGAATGTGGATCCCAGGTGAGAGCTGCAGGGTCGGGTGCTGCTACTACCCTCGCAGCAGCAACACCACCGAGTCACCTCCTCGCACACTCCCTTCACTCCGCACGGGCGGATCCTGCGCAAGCGACGAGCTTCCTGAATGTGCGATCCAACAGGGCATCTACTGTCTCGTTACAGCCTGTTTTGCCACAAGGGTCGTCGTCGCTTTCGGTGCAGCCACTGAGAGGGCAGCAGGGGCCAGTGATCTCCATAGTCCGCTGTGCTGCTGGGTGCCACACCGCCATTTCCGTGCTCTCCCACTCCTCTCCCTCTTCCGGGTGTACGGCAACTCCTCACGCTCTCGCTCCCTGCTCCTCCTCCTCCACTACACCTACCGCTCACACGACAACCAGCCACAGCAGTTTTGCGGGTTCAACTCCTAGTTGCCTTGCCTCAGGCCCACGTGCCGATCTGGCCTCGGATCCATCCAGCAGATGGCAGGTGAGAGATGCTCCATGGGCTGCTGGCTCTGCTGATACCAACACCATGGATGGTGATCTGGGCTGGCGCGCTTCTGCGTCTGCAGCTGCACCGGCTGTGCTGGGAGCGGCAGTGGATTTAAACTTAGAAGCGGCAGCAGCTGCGGCGGCAGCATTGGCAGCAGAGCAGCACGGCCTCACGTCGAAAATCGCAGAGCTTTTCGCTCCTTCGGGGGAGAGTGGAGGCGGGGCAGAGTCGGGGCAAGGCCAGGCAGGATTTGAAGATTTGGTAGCTGCTGACGCAGGCACGAGTGGTTGTACTGGTGCTCATGCTGCGGCCGGTGTTGGTGCTGCTGGTGCTGGTGGTGGTGCCTCAAATGGACACAGCATGGCGTCTTTTTTCAGGGATTGGAATGCGCTTCACGGGTTGCCTGACGGGTGCAAGATGTGTGAGAATGCGCAGTGCGGGCGCCCAGAAACCCGGGCACATGAGTTCAGGCGGTGTGTGGTGTGTGAGCGGGCGGCGTACTGCAGCAGATACTGCCAGGTGATGGATTGGAAGAGGATACATTACAGAGTGTGCAAGTCAGGAGGGACCCACACCCATTGAGTGTGCTTCGGTAGCATATTACACGTGACTAGGCTAGGATGCTTCAGTGTACCACTTTTTGAAGTGCCTGTAGGGAGCAGCTTCAACACTTGCAGTGTAGACCCTACTAGATTGTTTAGGAATTTTATGTGTGATGTGTATGTGCAATGCATCTCCTGTATACATTATTTAAGCCCATTCTAATCAAACTGGATGACAGGAAGAACAATGAATATCATATACTGTACTGTAAGGGCATGTTCCTGTTGGGCTGAGAAGCCCTAAGGATCTTTGTAGAGTTAAAGACCGAATAGGATTGTAATAGCGGAAGCGTTTGAGTAAAAGGTCTTGAACCACCTTGCGTTAGTATGTGAGGGCAAAGTAAGTTGATTAACACAAGCAAATACAAGGCTTTATATAGGAGTACAAGGAATACGAATAGATATAATAACTGTATTGCTGTTGCGATTCGATACAGTGCAACTCGGGCAACTGCTCCATGTCGAGTCAGTTGTGTGTCCTCGCTGCCGCGCTGTATTGGTCAAGTCAAAGGTCGCTGACCTTTGACCTTCGCGTAACCTCCAGGCGGTTACCCCAACCTCCGAGGGTTGACTCGCGATGCTTCGATTCGGAGTGCTTCGCTTTTGTATCCAGAGTTTCGACACGACAGAGGCGCTTAAGATTTATTGTTCCCAACACTCCCCTTCGCTTCTGGAGTGTCGATGGTGGTGACGTGGCCTTGTCCAGTCAGCAGCATGCAGTACTCGAACTTTTGTTTTCCGAGCTTCTTGGTCCAATAGTCGGCTGCCATCTCGGACGTGGGACAGTAGGATAACTCGAGTCTTCCTTTCTCGATCTCGTCTTTCACGAAGAAGTATCGCAGAGCGATATGCTTCGTTCTGTTCGCGAATCCGCTTTTGTTGGCGATGCGAATTGCAGATTGGTTGTCGCAGTGCAGGGTGAAGTTGGGTAACTCAGCTAACTTTGCTTCTTCCAGCAGCTCGCGAAGGTAGAGTCCTTCCTTGGTGGCTGAGCAGAGGGCGATATATTATGCTTCAGCTGAAGAGAGAGCGATTAGTTCCTGCTTACTCGACTGCCAAGAGATAGGCCCGATAGGCTCGAGACGATAGACGTAGCCGGTGCGAGAGCGCCTGTTATCTGGATCGCCGGCATGGTCGGCATCGACATAGCCGATTAGCTTCGTTGACGCAGCTTTGTTCTTGTAGTAAGTCAGGCCAATTGTCGGTGTGCTCACGAGATAGTGCAGTGCGCGATCGAGCTCTGTCAGGTGATCTACTTCAGGCCTCTTGAGATAAGTAGCGAGCCGGCTAGCGGAGTAGGACAGGTCTGGGCGACAGGTGACGGCTGCGAAGAGTAGACAGCCCAGTTTTCGCTGATATTCGCGTATTCCGGCAGCTTTGAGTAGGGCGGAGTTTCCTTGGCCGTTTCCTGCCGTGTAGCGGTATGGTGTGGCGATAGCGGTGGGTGTGAGCGAGAAGCGCTTGGCGATCGTGTCGGCGTATTTCTCACCTCTTAGATAGATTGCGTTTTCTTCTTCGCGGATGTTGAGCCCGAGGTACTGCGTAACGGTAGAAGAAACCGTGAGCGTGAGGTCTTTCTGCAGCTCCCCTTCGAACCAGGTGGTGACGTCGTCGGTGGAACCGATGTAGAGGAGATCGTCGACGTAGACGATGAGTAGGATGTAGTTGGCGTCTTTAGTGAGTCGGTACATGCCCTGGTCATGGGGCAGTTGGCGGAATCCGATGCGGATGAGGCGGGTGTGTAAGTGCTGTTGCCACAGCCGTGGGGCCTGTTTGATTCCGTAGAGGGATTTTAGCAATTGGCAGACTTGATTGGGTTCCCCGTGGGTACCGTGAGGGAGCTCGACGAAGATGTCGGCGTCGATAGGTGCGTAGAGGAAGGCGTCGGCGACATCAATTTGTCGCAGCTTTTTCTTCTTCATGGCGGCAACGGCGAGAAGAATTCAGAGTGAGGTATGTCGACTAACTGGGGCGAATGTCTCGGTGAAGTCTCGCCCTTGCTCCTGGTCGAATCCTTGTACGACCCATCGTGCCTTGAACTTCTCGATTGTACCATCTGCTTTCGTTTTGATGCAAAAGACCCACTTCTCGGTGAGAATGGTCTTGTTCCTTGCCACGCTTGCGGGAACGACCTTCCAGGTGTTGCGTTCCTCCAGCGCTTTTAATTATCTGTCCATGGCTTCACGCCATTTCTCCCTGTGTTCCCCCCCCAGAGCCTGCTGAACTGTCGCAAGCTCTTTAGGAAGAGTGTTGCTGGCGTTCCTGTGGACTGCGGTGACGAGACCGAGAATTTGCAGCCCAGTCTGTGAGTATCGGGGGAGTGTTGTATCCTCGGGATAAGCTGCTTCGTCTCCTGCTTCTGGATCGGGGATGAAATTTGGCCCTATCCTTTCTGCTTCATTTGTGTTGACTGTCGCAGGTGTTACGTAGCCGTTGTCGGCGAAATGATAGAAGACTTCGGCGTTGTTACTGTCGCGAGGATTTTCTTCGTCCATGGGCACGTCGACGGAGCAGTACGGAAGAGGTCCGGCTTCCTCCGATGCGTTGTCAACGTTCTGTTCATCCCAGTCTGCTTCGTCCGCTGATGAGGCGAAGGCTCGGTCACCATGAAAGCCACCTGTGGGGTCCTGATTCTCGTGCAAGTTGGCGAGGTACGTCTGAAGGGTGATTCTTTCGTAGAAGATCACATCACGTGCTGCCACTGTTTCTTTTGTATGGACGTCGAAGATTCTCCACGCGTTGTAATTTTTCTCGATGCCGAGGTGTAGTCCCCACTGTGCTCGTTGCGAAAATCTTCCCGCTCGTGCTTCTGGGGGTCGGTACTGTACCATGCACCCGAAAACTCGTAACATTTTTGTGCTGCCCTGCTTCCCTGTCCACAGCAGATGCGGTGATGCGTTGTTCGGGAGTGACGACGACGACAGCAAGTTGTGCAGCATGACAGCGTGGTCCATTGCTGCAGGCCACTGGTGGTTGGGTAGCCGCATGCCACGTAGCAGTTTGCGCATGCTGTTTTGCAGAGTCCTGTTCATTCTTTCTGCGACACCTTGCTGCTGGTGTGCGTAGGGAAGGGAGAGAAGTTGCTTGATCCCCCTTTCCGCCAGGTACTGCTTGAAGCGCTGAGAGGTGTACTCGCCACCTCCGTCTGACTGGAAGCTTTTCAGCTGCGTTCCAGATTCCCTCTCTGCTATCGGTAGCCAGGCGGCGAACGCTGCGAGTGCCATGTCGCGGCTGGGTAGGTTGCGATGCCAGACGTATCGAATGGCGGCCTCGATGAAGGTGATCGTGTGATTGTAGGTGACTTGTCCTGGTTCTCGGTTGAAGAGGATGTCGCTGTATACCTTTTCGAGTGGTGCGTATGCAGGTGCGCTCGGGTTGTGATGTGGAGCGAACGGTCGATGAGGTAAGTCAGCTTCGGGGCATGTAAGGCAAGTCCCTCGTGCCTTTTGGAGTTCTCTGCCGTCGGGTAGTAGTAGGTAGTCTTTGTCAAGAACTCCTGCTCTTATCGTGTTATTTAAGACCGTGTTGCTTGGATGTCCTGTGCGTGCGTGCCAGATATCTTCAGAGGCGCGGTGTCCGGGTGAACGTTGGTATGCGTCGGAGTTGGAGTAAAAACTGGCGACGAAGTTGGCGCTTCGGTGGACTTCACGTTGAGACGGATTCAGCTGTTGTGCGGGTGTTGGTGGTGCTTCGTCGACTGTGACTGGTGTCGTTGTTCCTGCTGCTGCCGATGTTGTCTCTGCTGCTGCCGATGTTGTTGCTGCTGCTGCCGATGTTGTCTCTGCTGCTGCCGATGTTGTTGGTGCTGCTGCCGATGTTGTCTCTGCTGCTGCCGATGTTGTTGGTGCTGCTGCCGATGTTGTTTCTGCTGCTGTCGTTTGTTGAATCGTCGCTAACGCTCGTGTTCGTTCTGCTTCAGGGATGGTGTGGGAGTACCAGAAACCTCCCGGGCTGAAGTCGGGGTCGAGATCCGGAGGGTGTGTCCAGTCGGTAAAGTTGACGATGGCATCGCTGTCTGCAGTGCCTAGGTCAGGGACGAAATCGAGGACGAAGACGTTGTTCTTCAGAACTGCTTTTCCGATGTAGAGACCGCCCTTCCCGTGATACAATTTAAACTCCTGGGTGGTGCTGTCGGCTTCCAAGTGGATGCCTTTCGCCATCAGCTGGCTAACACTCAGTAAGTTGTAACCGAGTCCTTCTGCGATGAGTACCTTCGACATGTGCAGTATGACGCTTGTCTCTCTTGACTGAAGCTGTACCACTCCTTGTCGTCGTGTGCGCAGGTTCTGATTGTTGGCGACCGTGATGACTACTTCTCGCTGGAGTCGATGTTCGCGTTGTACGAAGCGCCCGGAGGAGCACATGTGTTGTCCGCAGCAACTATCCAAGAACCAAGTGTCTTGGCCGGACGGTTCGCTTTGAGCGATGGCGACGTACGTCGGATACGGCTGGAGTGATTCGCGGCGAGGCGTCCGGTTGTCGAGCTCTTCTTCTGGTGAGTAGTAGGGTGGTGACTCTGTCGTGCAAGAATCGTTTATCTTCACCATGCAATTGACGATGCTTCTTGTTCCTTGTGCAGGTTGTCCAGTTGAAGTCGTTGAAGTTTGAATGGTGGTCGTCGGACTTGCTTGCGTTGAGGCAACTTGGGAGCTTGAAGGCCGGAGTTGTCGCTGTGGTGTTGTCTGACGAGACGGGCAATGCGTGCGAGGATGGCCCGAAGTCTTGGAGATGTGACAGAATGGAGTAACTGTCTTCACTTGTTGCTGTTGTCGATTGTTGTATCGTCGCTGAGTGTGAAACGCAGACTCTGGTGCTAATGACTTCTTCTTGTGCCTTTCTTCTTGCAGGTCCATATCCTGCTGCTCGGCGTGGATTTCGGCGCAGAGTGCCGCTTCGGAGATCCTCCCGTATGCTCGTAGTATGGCGCGAGTGGAGCGCCAGTGGGGGCCAAGACCGCCAATGACCACCGTGACAAAGGCGTCTTCGGAGATTGACCCTCCGCATCGAAGAAGCCTGTCGCGCAGTTCGCGACAGCGGCTGATATAGGCCATGCCTTTCTCGCCTGGTTTCATTTCAATTGTTGTCAACTGCGCCATTAACCTGCTTTGATTTACGCTGTCTGTTGCTTGATACAGATTCTTCAGGTGGTTGTACGCGAGCTCCGCGGAGTTGCCGTAGCCTCGGTATGTCCTGATGTTCTGCTGCTGGGTTGGGGTGATGTTCCTTAGCAGAATCGTGTACGCCATCATTGACTGATATGTATATTGCTGCTTCTCATACTGTGTCCCATTTGTTGGGTATGGCAGGGACCCGTCGAAGAAGCCGAGAATCTGTGCTCCTTCCATCATCAGTTCAAACTCGAACGACCAGGTGAAGAAATCTTTGCCGTCGAAGGGCTTTGTCGTTTGCAGTTTTAGGACATGCGCGAATTGCGATTGGACTTGTAACGCATCCAATGTCCTTTCTTGTCCTGATGCAGGTTGCGGTTCCGGCATGAAGCTGACGGAGCCACGTTGGGGCTCGTACGGCGCAAAGGTAGGCTGCTGTTGTTGTTGTTGTTGAATCCCGCGTGCGTAGGATGAGCCGTCGAGACTCATAGGAGTCACGTTGTTGTTGTTGCTGTTGTTTGGCTGCGCAGGTACTCCTTGCTGGTGCTGCTCATAGAAGGACATGAAGGAGAAAAACTTCTCCATCATGCTTGGATCGAAGCCTGCTGGCGTTTCCGTGGACCCAGCTGCTGGTCTCGTGGTAGTCCCTTCCTCTGTCTGTAGGCCAGAGACAGGTGGTGGGGTAGGAGTAGTACCGGGAGAGCCGTTGGAGGAGCTCCTCTCCTTTCTGGTTGACATGTCTTCTTTGATGTAAGGCTTGCTGAATAATAATTTTAACTCTAACTGCTCTCATACCATGTTGGGCTGAGAAGCCCTAAGGATCTTTGTAGAGTTAAAGACTGAGCAGGATTGTAATAGCGGAAGCGTTTGAGTAAAAGGTCTTGAACCACCTTGCGCTAGTATGTGAGGGCAAAGTAAGTTGATTAAAACAAGCAAATACAAGGCTTTATATAGGAGTACAAGGAATACGAATAGATATAATAGCTGTATTGCTGTTGCGATTCGATACAGTGCGACTCGGGCAACTGCTCAATGTCGAGTCAGTTGTGTGTCCTCGCTGTAGCGCTGTATTGGTCAAGTCAAAGGTCGCTGACCTTTGACCTTCGCGTAACCTCCAGGCGGTTACCCCAACCTCCGAGGGTTGACTCGCGATGCTTCGATTCGGAGTGCTTCGCTTTTGTATCCAGAGTTTCGACACGACAGAGGCGCTTAAGATTTATTGTTCCCAACAGTTCCTACGGCCCCTTGTCAGGGCATCCTCTTATCAGCTTCGCATATTTGTTGTACGCACATTATAGAACGCCTCGTGTCAGGCTTGTACCGTGAACGCGCACGTATGAAATCGATCGCACGATGTCGCTCAACAACGCGGAACCCACTGTGCACGTCCACAGAATCGCATAAGCGTCAAAGCATGAGTTTCGCCCGTCACTTTAACCTGCGCATGACTGTGACGTGACGAATGTGCAACGGGAAGCTTACGTGCTCATTTTTCACGTAACGATTGTTGCTTGGTTGAGACTACGTGGGTTGTTGGGTTTGTATTTTGTGCAATGCGTTTTACGCTGATGTGGCAATGTCGCATATTGAACGGATCGCAGTTCTCATGGGACGTCACAATTTGATGCCCACGGTTTTGCGGCACTGTGCCACATCATCCAACTTTCAAGTTCGCACACAACTGCAAACCGGCAAGTTTATCTGACAAGAGGTTTCTCGCTCCAGCCGAATTACAGGTGAATTTAGCGAGGCTGATAAGAGGCGGCCCTGATAAGGGCCCTGGAACATGCCCTAAGGGTACATTCTGCTGTGGATTTATGTCACAATCGATATGTCTCAATCCACTTTCCGTCGAGCCGCGCCCAATTTTCCCGAATCTGCATGTCCCAATCGATCAATGTATTGCGACTCATCCGTGTGATGCGAAAATTATCAGCGACCCCTGCTGATTGGTCACCGTCCATCCTGGCCCACATTCCCGCCAAAAGCACAAACACCCCCGAACCCCGTCAACCGGGGGAAACACAAATCCCCTCGGCGCACTCCCCGAAGATACACAACATAGCCGCGCTGCCAATAATTGCGACATCTGGTACTATAGTGGTATGTACCAGACATAAGGAGCTAGTATAAACCACAAACACACGTACTGGAATTAACGGCTTGCGCGCACTGTCCACCAGACATGGCTGAGCCACGAACCATCCCATTCATCCTACGGCTCCTCGTCGCCTGGATAACCTACTGCTACACAATCTTCCACGACAATGTCTCCAAGAGCTTCGTAGGCCTGATAGAGTCTGGCGTCTTCGAGGACGACGAAGAGCAGTCCTCGTCCTGCGGGAGCGATTACGGCGACAACCGCCGTGATAGAGCGCGGATACGAAAGCGGAAACACGCTCTGTGGGTTGAAGACCTGCAACACATGCGCGAGAACGACTTTCAGGATCTCTTCAGGATCAACCGTTCAATTCTGGAGCACATTGTGGCAGGGATGCAACACTACCTTGAGCCGATTGTGCAACGATCCATACTCACCATGTACACTGCCGTGCTGATCCCTATCAAATACCTGGCATCTGGAATATCGTACGTAGACATCTCGTACCTGTTCGGCATCTCCAAAACTCTCTGCCACGAGGTGGTCGACGTGTTCCTCTCGCACTTCCCTTCCGTCTTCAAGGCCGCTTGGGTGCGGTTCCCCACCCGTGAAAAGCTTCCAGAGATGGCGCGGGAGTTTGCAGCCGTCAAGGGTGTACCTGCTGTGGTGGGTGCTGTGGACGGCACTCACATACACATGAAGGGGATGGAGGGGCACAGGACAGAATACTGGACAAGGAAATCCGCATATGCTGTACAACTCCAGGTCACATGTGACGCACGAGGGAGAATATGGGACTACCTTATCGAGTATCCCGGTAGCGCTCACGACATGTGTGTTTTCAAGGAGTCTGCATTACTTGAGCGGTTACAGAAACCGGGACATAGCCCCATACCAGATCGTTGGCGATGCGGCCTACCCACTACGGGAGTACTGCCTAACACCCCTGCATGCCCCACGAGGAGAGGACCTCATGGACGATTGGGCACAAACTTTCAACTACTGCCAAAGCGCCACACGCATGGCCGTCGAGAGATGCATTGGCGCGTTCAAGGGGAGATGGCGCATCTTCGGCCAACGCAACGACTGCAGGCTGTGGCGCTTACTCGCCGGGGCCGCGTGTTGTATCATCCTGCACAACATGTGTGAAGACATGTAGGATGTCAGGCGGCGCAACATGGCATGGGCGAACATACCTCGCAACCGAGATCCGTGGTGGACGCGGGGTGCTGTCGCGGCATTCAAATGGGAACCGTGCGATCCCCCTACACAACAAGCACTCAGGGAAAGGCGAAAACGACTAGGGGAGGCGCTGCAGTCATCTTACGCTAATCGTCGGCGCCGCGAACCCATACTTCCACATCCTCATCCGCCGGCATAGCGGTGTCGCCGTCGCCCTCGTCCACACGCGTCCGTGCGGTTTCGGGAGCAGGCGCGGACTCCCCGCGTGGCGGCGGTGGAGAGAATTCATGGGGCGCGCGGTGCACATCCGGGGGAGCCGACTCTGTCATACGCTCACGGGCAAGTCTGAGATCTTGCGCCATCCATTCACGGACGAGGCCTTCGATGCGGTTCATAGCGTCGCCATGGCAGTCCTTGATGGTGGCAGATACGAGCATGGGCGCTTGCATGGTGGCCGTCTCATGCACCCGGGCACGCCTCGGTGTGGCAGGAGTCGTTGGCGGAGGAGCTGCGACATAGCAGGGACATTCGCATTAGTGTTAGCTCATAGAATAACCCGTTGTCAGTGTGCGTTGCATGCATGTTTTTTTTTAATTAAAATGTTCAAGAAACAACGTGGACCAGAACCACAACGCGAGCGATAAATCTTCGGACTCACCAGTGAAACAAGGGGTTGACGTGCCTGGCTGGGACGATTGCGGAACCTCCATGCCTGCCGGGACGTTGACGTTATTCGCGCCACCTCCGTCCACGGCATGAGGTGCGGATGCGGCGGTGTCCTGGTTGTGCAAGTCAACGTACGGGTACCAAGGTGGTTTCTCCACGGAGCCGTTGCCCGACCCCTCGTCGGCCTTCTTATACTCACGCCATAGCACTATTAGGTTACGCCACTGTTTCTGGAGCGCATTGACACCCCGGATCCATCCGAGGTTCGACTCCTTGATATGTGCGAGCAGCCGCGCCCAGTACTGGGTACCCTGTTTCCCCTTGAGGGGCTCGAGCTCCTCCTTGAGAAACCACTTTGCCGCAGCGAAGATGGTGCTCTCCTTGTCAAACCATAAACCGTGAGAAAGTGTGAACGAGAAAGTGGATGACTATGAAGTGAAGTGAATACAAATAGGAAACCCTAATTGTGTTGTACCCCCTATGGGATACCCCACTATAGCCTACAGAAACAAGTAAGCTATATGTTCTGACACACCCCCATAGGCAAAGTGGGGGAGAACAAGGGGTCACAAGACCAGTCAAGCAAAGCAAAGCAAAGCTCAGGGTGGATCACAAAGTCACCACGCATTCCGAGCACAAGTTCAAAGGCCAGAAGGCAAGTTCACATGCAAGATCATATATAGAGATATACAAGAGTCAAGCAAGCAAGAGCAAGAGTATATATAGGCGAAGGTACAAGCAAGGTCAAGAGGAGAGCAAGTGAGGCAAGACAGGCACAAGACCCAACTGCGTGCAACAACGCTGATGATCACAAGGCGCAAGTGCCTTGGTGAAGACATCAGCAGTGTTGGCCTCAGAGGCCACGTACGCAAGTCGCAACTGTCCACGCTGCTGTAGCTCACGAGCAAGAAAGTAGCGGAGAGCAATGTGCTTCGTTCTGTGCTCCAGTCGCTGCTCTCTACACAAGGCCAGCATGGCCTTGTTGTCTACGTACAGGACTGGAGGAGAACGAGGCTGCTCTCCAAGGTCGGTCAGCAGGTAGGTGAGCCAGCGTAACTCCTGTGCAGCCATAGCCCCAGCGTAGATCTCAGCCTCACAACTGGAGCCGAGAACAGAAGACGAGCGGGTAGCCCGCCACGAGACAGAGCCGGAACCAAGGCTGAAGGTGTAACCCTGTGACGACCGCTGCGTAGCCTGGTCGTCAGCCCAAGAAGCGTCTTCGTGCCCAGTGAGGACCACTGGACTGCGCCCTCCAAGCACTAGCCCCATGCCCGACGTACTGCACAAGTAGCGCAACACCCTCTTCGTTGCAGCCATGTGCTCTGGTCGGTGTCTCCCAGGAGCAACAAAGCGTGCGAGAATGCTAAGAGGGTATGCGAGGTCAGGTCGTGTGCAGGTCATCAGGTACATGAGGCAGCCAACAAGCTCTGGGTACGGGCCACTCGACTCTACGGACTCATCCGAAGGCAGAGCTGAGAGCGAGTGGCGAGTAGACAGAGGAGTGGCCTGAGGCGAGGAGTACGTGAAGCCGAAGCGCTGAAGGACCTGCTGCACCATGTGTGACTGAGTCAGGGTAATGGTGCGGCGTGCTCTGTCCCGGGTGATCTGCAAGCCAAGGTAGCTGCGCAGTTCACCCAGGTCAGTGCACGTGTGTCTCTTCTGCAGCTCGGACTTCACGTAGGCGAGTCCAGCAGTGTCAGATGTGGCAAAGACCAAGTCGTCGACGTACACGAGGATGTAGAACGGCGGCAGAGAGGTGTCGGTGCGCAGAAAGAGCGACGGGTCGGCAGTAGAAGGAGCAAACCCAAGTGCCGCGAGCGTAGTCCTCAGTGTGTCGTGCCACTCACGTGGCGCCTGGCGGAGACCGTAGACTGGACGCCGGAGACTCCACTGGGTACCAGGAGGGAAAGACCCAGTGAAGCCAGGTGGGCGACGCAGCCAGATCTCCTCGTGCAGGCTGCCCTGCAAGAAAGCTGTGCTGAAGTCGAGAGAGTGCAGCTCGTAGTCACGGTGAGCAGCAACGTGCAGCAGAACCCGAAGAGTGGTCATCTTCGGGGTGGGGGAGAAGGTCTGAAAGTAGTCAACCCCCTGCCGCTGACTGAAGCCACGAGCCACGTAACGCGCCTTGAAGACAGGCGGAGAACCCGGCGGCCGCTTCACCCTGAAGATCCACATGCCACTGACGATGTTCGCCCCAGGAGGGGGAACAGCGTCAACGTAGGTGCCTGTGGACTTCCAGGAAGCCATCTCTGCATCCATAGCTGCCTGCCACTGAGAGGAGTAGGGACCCTCTATCGCCTCCGCGTAAGAGCGCGGAGTCGGGATGTCTGGTGCATCCGGGTCTCCCTCAGGGGCTAACAGTACAGACGCGAGACGAGGTGAAGCGGCGGCCAGACACTGGAACTCCTCCTGCCTGTCCTCAAGGACGTCCGTGCCAAGGGCACACTCACCCCCGACGGACGGAGGACAGGCGGACTCAGACTCAGTGACAAGACGAGCAGCGTAGTCTAGACGACAACGCGCAGCAAAGTCGACAAGCTCAGTGACAAGGGCAGACGCAGCAGACGACTCGAAGGAAGGGTCAGTGACAGCAGTAGCAAGGAGACGCGTGACAGTAGGACTGGCAGCACGAAGAGAGTCCGACTCCGGGTCGGCAAGAGCAGGAAGAGAGGAAGCAGGAGGAGAAGGCAAAGGGGCACGCAGAGGAGCAGTGCACGGACGCAGTGACATCCGGTGCGTGCCAGGGACAGGAGGAGGACGCTGACGCGACCTGCGACCACTAGCGCGCTCAGTACGAACAGGCGACACAGGACGAGACGCAGGCTCACGATGCTCAGTAAGACCTCCAGTCGAACCAGCGTAGGGAGAAGGAGCAGGCAAAGGGGAGGCAGGCTGTAGCTGTGGCTGTGACCGGACAGGCTGCGGACCCTCTAAGGGAGGAGGAGGAGGTGTAAGACCAAGAACCTGCTGCAGGAGCGGAACGAAGTACGGTCGGGGCCGCGCGGCGACGCTAGAAACAGCAGGAACAGCACCAGCAGCCCCGGCAGGAGCACCCACTCCAGCAGCACCTCCAGCAGCACCACCAGAAGCTCCAGGACCTCCAGCAGCAGCACCAGGAGCACTGTCAGTCGGACCGCCAACTGCAGGCTCAGCGCCAACACCCTCAGCAGTACCAGCTCCAGGAGAACTCTCAGACCCAGCAGCTCCAGCACCCACAGTACGAGCACCGGCGGGACGCGCGGCAGCAGTACCCTGTGCAGCCGAAGAACCACCAGCACCAGCAGCACGCCTCCAGCGCCTGGCAAACCACTCACGCAGCTCCTGTGGGGAGAGTGGCTCCCGGCGAGACGAAGCACCCTCAGGCACAGCACCCCCAGGCTCAGCACCCCTAGGCACAGCACCCCCAGGCACAGCACCCCCAGGCTCGGCACCTCCAGGCTCAGCACCCCCAGGCACAGCACCCCCAGGCTCAGCACCCCCAGGCTCAGCACCCCCAGACTCCGCACCCCCAGGCTCAGCTCCCGCAGCAGCACCAGAGTCACCAGTGACCTCGACAAGCTCGACCGCGTCTACCTGGGACACACCTGAAGGGGCAGGCACCTGAGGGGGGAGGGGGACTACCGGGGGGGGACCTGGTACCAAGAAGAGCGGGGGTGGGGGGAGGGACGGAGTGCGGTAGGGGAAGAGGCGGTAGTAGGGTACCGACTCGTCGAACGTGACGTCCTGGGAGGACAAAACACGTCGAGAGGTGGGGTGGTAAAACTGCCACCCAGGGGCGTCGGGGGGGAACCCCAGGAAGACGCAGGGAGAAGCACGAGGGGACAGCTTGTCCGCAGACAGGTCGCGAACAAACGCCCGAGATCCCCAGACCCGGAACGCCGACGCATCGCCAACCTTCCTCGTCCACAGCAGGGCTGGAGAGGTCTCCGGTCGAGAGACCCTGGGGTGGAGGTTGATCTGGTGCGCAGCGTACCTGACCGCAAACGGCCACAGAAAATGGGGAGCAGCCGCATGCATCATGGACGTGCGAGCGACGTCCATGACCATGCCAATGCGGCGCTCAGCAATCCCATTCTGCTGAGGTGAGTCCGGAAGCGTGAAGGTCTGACGGATGCCTCGCGCACGACAGTAGGCACTCAGGAGGCCAGAGGAGAACTCTCCGCCTCTGTCCGAGTGCAGACGCAAAACAGGGAAGTCAGAGCCAAAGCTCCTCCGAAGCTGGAGACGAGCTGCGCGGATCCAGTCGATCAACACCTCAGTGACCTCACCCTTGCTGCGCAAGGGGAAGACTGTGGTGTAACGCGAGTAGTCGTCAACCACCAGCAGGAAGTAGCGCTCCTGACCCTGTCCACGGACGCGGGCTGGGCCCCACACGTCCATGTGAAGTGTCTGCAACGGGGCCTCTGTCGGAGGAAACTGGGAGGAGTGAGGGGCAGCACGCTGGCGCCCCTCGACACAGGGGACACAGGTAGGGCCAGGGCCCGGAGGAAGGGGAGGGAGAGACCGGGGAAGACCAGACACAAGGACTCGCGAGGCCATGCCTCTGAGCCGAAGCAGAGAGGGGTGGCCAAGGCGGTGGTGCCAGAGGAGGGTCTCGTGAGACAGACGACGACACGAGCAGGGGGCAGACTCAGGACCAGACCTGGACGCTGCAGCAAACACCTGACCAGACGAAGGGACCCTACCAGACGTAGCACCTGGAGGAGAAGCAGTGGTCAGTGTGTACAGGCTCGACCCTGGCCGACGTGTAAACGTAGCCAGGTGGCGACCTGTATCCGCCTCCGTGCAGTGGGTCACCCGCTGACGAGCAGGGGTGAACTGGTGGACACCCGCATCCTGGAGGTCAGCACCACTCACCAAGTTCGTCGAGAACGAGGGGAGGTAGAGACCAGTCAGGGTGCCAGAGGGGGCCGCCGGACACGGGAGGACAGTGGAGAAGCGAGACAGGACAGGCCCCCCAGAGGGGTCAGCCAGGGACACCGCAACCGGCCGACTTAGGGGCGTGAGAGTGGTGCGGTCCCTAAAGAAGGAGCGAGACGCTCCAGAGTCAAGGGTGAAGGTGTGAGAGGCCGAAGCCGACACAGTACCTGAGAGGGCAGACTCACCAGCACCTGAGAGCACAGACGCACTGGCACCTAGAGCAGTAGCCTCACTAGTACCTGACGCGGCAGTACCAATGCCCGGGTCGGGCGGGAAACACCGGTAACAGTCATCCTCATCACTACCAGTCGCAGCATACATAGCAGAGAGAATAGCATCAAAATCAAGATCATAAATAGCTACACCAGCCCTAGACAGCTCTCCCCAGCGGGGGATCTCAGCGGCCTCCGGAAACTGCTGACGCCAGGCGTCGGTCAGGCGGCCAAAGCAGCGGCGGGCTGTGTGGGCGCCTCCACACCTCTCCCCTGCACGGTCACCGGTGCGAAGAACGTAGGGGCAGGGACCAAGCGCACCACCACGCTGACGCTGCAAGTACCACTCACGGAGCTGCTGAGGGGCGGGGACGGTGCGAGAGCGCTGCTGCTGCTGTGGCTGCTGCTGCGGCTGCTGCTGCTGCCGCTGCTGGCGCTGACCACCCCCAGAGCTGCTCCGCTGGGACGAGCCACTCCGACCCCCGCCTCCACCGCCACCCCCGCCTCCACCGCCACCCCCGTCTCCACCTCCACCTCCCCCACTAGGACCGTCGCTCCCACCGCTCCCACCGCCTCCTCTGCTACCACCTCCGCCGCCACCTCCGCCTCCACCGCCGCCACCAGTACCTCCACTCCCGCCACCACCCCCACCGCCACCCCCACTCCCCCCGCCACCCCCACCGCCTCCTCCACCGCCCCCTCTAGCTCCACCCGCTCCCTTGCCCCCCTTGCCCTTGCCAGAGCGGCGTCTGCCGCTGGGGGCAGACGCCGCGCCGACCGACTCAAAACCAGCGAGGTCGGCCGCAGCGGCAGAGGCGACAGAGGGCAGCAGGGGGGAAGGACCACACCCCTCAAAGATGGGGGTGCGAGGGTCACCCCGAGAGGCCCCTACAGCGACAAAGCTCTTCTCAGCCGCTAGCAGGGACTCCTCAAGGAGGTCGACAGTGAGAGTGGTGGGACAGACAGAGAGAAACTGGTCCCTAACGACACGAAGGGACTCAGGGAGACGGGTGACGAGAAAGTAGAGAGTGATGTACATGGGAGGAGGGTTCGCAGCGCGGAACTCAGCAGGAAGGGCAGCGCGGTAGCGGGTGTCACTAGCACGGAGGTGGGTAACGAGGTCAGCGACAGTGGGAAAGGAAGCGAGGTCAGGGAAGAGAAACGGTAGCATGAGGCGGCTAAGGGTAGCGGAGGAAGGGGAGGAGTAGCGTGCAACTACAGCGTCGTACAAGGCCTGAGCGGTCTTGCACTGACTAAAGTGGGCACGCTCAGAGGAAGGGAGGTGGCGACGCACAGCAAGACGTGCAGCAGCATCGCGGGTCGCCCACTTGGAGCGAACGGCAGAGTCAGCATCAGCGGGTGGGGCAGGGACAGCGCTAGAGACAAAGTCAAAGAGAGAGACCTCATCTATCGCATCACACAGTAAGTACAGCTGCAGGTCTTCAATCCAGACGGCAAAGTCAATGGCCCTCCCCTCAGCGTCAAAAGTAAGAACATTGGGGGTGGCCATGGCAGCAGCTGGAAGTCTCACCGGGCTGGGAGAGTCGGGTAGGTCAGCAGCAGAGGAACACAGCTCAGGAACAGCAGCACGGCTCCTCAGGCGGCTCGGGCGGCTCGGGCGGCTCGGGCGGCTCGGGCGGCTCGGGCGGCTCGGGCGGCTCGGGCGGCTCGCGCGGCTCGGGTGGCGTAGGGGCTCACGGGCGGCGCGGGCTGCTGGGGCTGCTCACGTGCAGCACGGCGGGCTGCAACAGGGGCCGCGGGGAGGGCTGTATGGCGGGGCCGGGGCGGGCTGTAGCTGGGCCGGCGGCGGGCTGTAGCAGGGGCCGGTGGCGGGCTGTAGCGGGGCCGGCGGCGGGCTGTAGCTGGGCCGGCGGCGGGCTGTAGCTGGGCCGGCGGCGGGCTGTAGCTGGGCCGGGGGCGGGCTGTAGCTGGGCCGGCGGCGGGCTGTAGCTGGGCCGGCGGCGGGCTGTAGCAGGGGCCGGTGCGGGCTGTAGCGGGGCCAACGGCGGGCCGTAGTGGGGCCGGTGGCAGGCTGTAGCGGGTCTAGTGGCGGGGTGTAGCGAGGCCAGTGGCGGGCTGTAGCGGGGCCGACAGCAGCTGAAGCGGGGCCGGCGTAGGGCCGTGGCGGGGCCGACGAGGTCTGGGCGGGGCCGACGAGGGGCCGAAGTGGGGCCTAGGCGGGCCGGCGGGGCCTAAGCGGGGCCAACGCGGGGCCGACGGGGCCTAAGCAGGGCCAACGCGGGGCCGACGGGGTCTAGGCGGGGCCGACGCGGGGCCAAAGCGGGGCCTAAGCGGGGCCGACGGGCCTAAGCGGGGCTACGCGGGGCCGACGTGGGGCCTAAGCGGGGCCGACGGGGGGTTACGCGGGGCCGACGTGGGGCCTAGGCGGGGCCGACGAGGAGCCGACGGGGTCTAGGTGGGGCCGACGCGGGGCCTAAGTGGGGCCGACGGGGGCTACGCGGGGCCGACGAGGGGCCTAGGCGGGGCCGACGAGTGGCCTAAGCGGGAGCACGACGGGGAGGGCGACACGGAGGGTCGCTAAAAAAAATGCGCGCCTCGGGGCGCGCTTCGGTGGGCCCTAGGAACAGGCCCTAAGAA